GAGAGAGAGAGAGAGAGAGAGAGCTAACAACAACTAAAAGAAAGGATAATCTAACTTGAGATAGAGGAGGAAAGAAAACAAAGGAGATGACCACAAACTTGCAATCTCAAGAAATCAAAATTATTATTCAAGAAGTCTGAACTTTGTGATTGTGTGATTAATTTTCTAATTTTCAATGACTATTAATCCACTCACAAAACATAGATTTATGTTCAAAAAGGATTATTATAGACTCCATTTTATCAAACACATTTCATCATCTCTTAGTTTTTCAGGTTGGAAAAAGGTTGGAAAATGTATCTCAGTCTTCATGCCATTCATCTCATCTTACAAAAGCTAATCTTGACATTTTCAATTTCTTTTAATGGCTTCAGATGAGAGAGAAAAGAAGAAGAAACACTGGTCAAACAAGTTTAGGAGATAGGAAACAGTAGTTAACCTTCAATCACGAGACTCTAATGGTATCCTACAGCCCCACTCTACTTGCAAGTTGTCCATTTACTTATCATCAAAGACTAAGAACATTCCCCTCTCTTTCTCTCTCTCTCTCTCTCTCTCTCTCTCTCTAGGCAAGACAATGAGTTAAGAAAAGGAGATCAATGAGTTAGGAAAAGGAGAACAATTCCATGAACACTTTTGGACCAAGTCATATGAAGACTCAAATATGAAGGATCATGTCAATCCAAGCGCGTGATGCCCACCATCACATAATGACTCAAAAATTTGACTGTGATTGGTTCCAAAACTACATGTATAATTTTATGATATACGTATTATTATATCCAACCTTTGTTACACAAAAATTACTAAATTAAGTATATAATTTTTTATTGAGCATAAATACATTCGTTGAAATTGCGAAGGAGCGAAATAAGCATGTCTTATTTTTAATATATATATATATATATATATATATATATTATCATTAATATGAGAGTAAGAATCTTATTTTTATTATAACATTCTAATTTAATCATATATCATTGGCTTATAAGAGGTCGATGATGATCAATATATTATTATTAATTTCAATCGTACTAAAATTTAATCTTAGATTATGTCAAATTTTGATAACAACGATGTTATAATATATTATATAAATTGATCGAGTCGTGACATTTGGTGTTATAATAGGGTTAGTAGTCTCGGAATATCTATTATAAATTCATTATATTTTTTTTAAAAATAATATAATTAAAAATTATTTTTATGTTTTAATGACCCATTGAGTTGACCGAAGTCAACGATATTTGCCAACTATGATTCATTCAATCACATAGATGACATCGATACAGGGGTACATACGACAAGGTCGAGACGCGACGCGGCCCGTTGAATACGTGGGCGAATCCGACTTGGGAATAGACGTGGAAGCCGTCCGTTTCCTTGTAATCATCGCCGCCTGGATTCCAATAGCGCGGCTCCCAAACCACTTCCTCCGCCTCCCCCTCCCCCTCCCACTCCTCCTCTTCCGGGGTTGTGTTCGCGCTGTGCATAAGAAGACCCTCACGCGCTCACTCCCCTCTCGTCTCTCGTCTCTCGTCTGTCGTCTCTCGTTTCTCTCTCCGCTGCGAGCAGAAGCGATAGTTTGCTGCTACTCTAATTTGTCCCGTTCTGGGTCTTGGTTGGGTTTTCGAGATTTGAGTCTTAGGCAGCCAACCACAAATTACCGTGGTTGTGTGCTGTTCTGGGGGGTCGAAACTTTGGGGAAGACGCAGTGGGGAAGGGGGGAGGGAGAGACGCGAACTTGTGAGGAGGAGGAAGAGAAAGGGCGGCAGCAGATCGGGTTGGTCGGCCACTCCGGGGCGCCGCGGCTGCGGGATCTGATCGGTGCCGGGACGTACCGGTGCGGAGATATTTTGCTTTCCTGGTGGCTAAATGGCAGATCTTTTGGGGGAAAAAGGTCATCTTATTTGGTTGGGGAAGAAGTGTTGCTTCGGTATGCCGGAGGCCGGGTGTCCGTGCTCCAAGAAGACGGATTATTCCTGCGAGAACGTCTGCGGGGGGGTAATTTTTTATCCCGATTTCTCCAGATCTTGTGAGAAGATCTGACAAGTTCGTTCCTTTGTTCAAATTTCGATATTTTTTGTGCGATTTGTGGTGTCCGATTTCGTGTTCGTGTGATTTGTCGTTGAGAACCCTATGATGTTGGTTTTGGCTCTCCTGAGTTCGAGCTTCTCGGGGGGCTTTCGATTGTTCGATTTTACGAATCTAGGGATCTGTGGTGCCAGTAGAAACTCGTTGAGTTCCTCAATGGATCGATGAATCATCTGATTTTTTACTGAAATTGTGATCTTCTCTTCAGCGTGCCTCTCTCTTTCTTGTTAACTTTAGCTGTTATTGTACTGTAGCAGGCTTCAAGAGCAGCTCTGAGCATGTCCCGGCGGCTCCGGTGCGCCCTCCAGGTCTTCGATCTCAAGGCACTATTGCTTCTCTTCATCGGCGTTCCCACCCTCGTATTCGTCATCTACGCCCATGGCCAGAAGATCACCTACTTCCTTCGGCCGCTGTGGGAATCCCCTCCTAAGCCCTTCAGGACCATACCTCATTACTACCACGAGAACGTCTCCATGGAGAACCTGTGCAAGCTCCACGGGTGGGGCATCCGGGAAATGCCGAGGCGTGTGTACGATGCCGTCTTGTTCAGCAATGAGCTCGACATCCTGGAAGTTCGTTGGAACGAGCTCAGCCCTTACGTCTCGGAGTTCATTCTGCTCGAGTCCAATTCAACATTCACCGGCTTGAAGAAGCCCCTCTCCTTTGCAGAGAACCGCCACCGCTTCAAGTTCGTGGAGTCACGGTTGACTTATGGGACTTTTGGTGGGAGATTTGTAAAAGGGGAGAATCCTTTTGTCGAGGAGGCTTACCAGCGGAAGGCATTGGATCAGCTTATCAGGATTGCCGGAATCAGTGATGATGATTTGTTGATCATGTCCGATGTTGATGAGATACCTAGTGGTCACACTATCAACCTTCTCAGGTGGTGCGATGAGATTCCAGAGAAGCTTCATCTCCAGCTTCGGAACTACCTCTACTCCTTTGAGTTCTACCTTGATGATGATAGTTGGAGGGCTTCAGTTCACCGTTACCAAGCTGGGAAGACCACATATGCCCATTTGCGTCAGACAGATGACCTATTAGCAGACTCCGGGTGGCACTGCAGCTTCTGCTTCCGGCACATCAGCGAGTTTATTTTTAAAATGAATGCATATAGCCATGTTGATCGTGTCCGATTTGCTTATTTCTTAAATCGTTTCAGAATTCAGGATGTCATATGCCATGGAGCTGACCTTTTCGACATGCTTCCTGAGGAACACACGTTCCAGAAAATAATTGCCAAGCTGGGGCCAATTCCTAGTACATACTCTGTTGTAAATCTTCCAGGTTATCTGATTCAGAATGCTGACCAGTACAGATACCTCCTTCCGGGGAACTGCAAAAGAGAAAGAGGCTAAGCAAATTAGTGGCTGTTGTAGACTGATTGAGATGTTACAGAAAAACATCATCTATAGACTGATTGTCATCACCTGACATGTAAGTTGAGTATCTGACCTAGGTTGATCTCTATCACGAAGAAGAGGGCAAGCATCGAGATTGTCATGTTTATATGCACAATAATTTTCTGAAGAGCTACTAGTTTCCGTGTGCATGCATGCGGCCCACTGAATAAGCTCTGTTGACTGAATACTATGGGAGATTGTTCACGCCTTCTTTCCATCTTGGCAGGTGATATTACACCTCATTGTTGTAGGATAAAAAACAAGTGACCTTTCCTAATATTTGATTTCTGGGGTTCATTTTTCTCTGAAGTTAATTTATTCATGTATTCTTCTACCAACTGGGCTTGATGCACCATAGACTCCGTGATTGTAATATATGACTTGGTTGAGTTCTGCTTTTGGATTCATTTGTTTGTTTCACCATATGAGGATATAAGAGTGCATTACCAAAAACCTAATGCATCCAGCTTTTGTGTATGTGACTGCAATTATATGTAACTGAAGATTTTGAAACTTTGCTGATGTCCTGCATGTTCTCCATATACTGGCATATGCCCCAGCATTGGAAGATACATGAAGATACTTAGGTGGAAATTATCTTTTCATGGTAAATTCAACTCATGACATTCTTGCCTTTATATTTAGGAGGTGTCACTACCATTAAGATATTCCAAAACATCAAGATTTTCTGAACTATTTGGAGTTCAGTATCTTGGGATTTCTTTTACCATTCATCTGTATATATATACACATCTTTTCTTAATCCTTATGTTTCCTAATCTTCTTTTCCAATGCATGTACCAAATTACTTTTTGTGTTTCATCTTCATGGTCCCTTCTGTACCAACTGTAAGCTGAAGTCATATGCTTATCATCTGCAGTCTTTTTTAAACAGATTTGACCCTGCAAAACCATAATGTAGATATGTAAGGAATAGTGACTTTGATTTCATTGAGTCACAGAAGCTTAGATCAGTCCTTAAACTAGTTTTATTGAGTGAGCTTTGAATCTAATTAACTCTGGAATTTGTTCAGATACTTCCTGTTTAGTATTGAATAATATAATTGCCTGGTTAAGCTTCCTGTGGAATACTGTTTGGACCTTCATTGTTATTGCGAATGTAGCAAACAAGCTATGGCAGTTCTGTATGCCCAATCTTCCTTGCCATTGACCCTTTAAATCTTGTCTCACTTCTTTATTTTTGTGTGACATTGCAGATTAAAGTTTATGCCTTGTGGAAAAGTAGGTGATTCTGCCATGTTGCTATGATATTGTTTTACCTATGTTTTGCTTAAGTATTTTGAGCTTTGCAATTTCTTGGAAGTTCAAGAAGATTTAACTTTTTAGGGAATGCAAGAACATTGAGAAAAGTTCATGTGTAATTTCATTTGGGGATCAGAAATGGAGAACAAAAAATATTGGTTATAAGATTTTACTACCAAATCTATTGTACAGTATCCTTTTTCTTAACAAAGGGGATATGGTTAGATTTTTACCAACTAAACTAAATAGCACCTTCAAGTTTATTATACAATTTTGGTAATAATATTTATTTATTATGTCTGAAATGTTGATAGAAATTTTTATCATCTTGAAAGAGTTTTAGCTTATCTCACTTGTGCCAATCTCCATAGATCTAAAGACCTGTTTATTTATGTTGTTAATGATAAATCATGATGTGAAATAAGATAAAGAGAAAAAAAAAAAACTAAACTCTTTTTTTTCAAAGAGATAACTTAATAAAATTTGAAAGATGAAAATGTCCCATTAATCTTTCTTTCTTTCCCTTTTATACATCCTTCGGACATTGAATCTCTCAACTACCTAGTTAATGAGTCACAACTTATTAAGAATCAAGTATATATTATAATATATATTAAATTCATGGTGCATTGTACTTTGATGATTTTAAATTTTCATAATTATCTCAAGATGTGAATCATTTAATTTGTTAAGAATCAAGCATATATTATAAAATATATTAAATTCATGGTGCATTGTACTTTGATGATTTTAATTTTTTATAATATCTTAAAATATGAATCATTTTTTAGAAATTTGATAGGGTTAAGCTTGAAATTTATTGTCTTGTAACTTAGGAGCATTCAATACTCATTATGCACTGTATCATTCTCTCCGGATGATAAATAACTCGAGTTGTCGTTATTATTATCTTAAACGTTAAATGTTGAGTGACTGAACATTCACAGTGACCATTTTTTCTTTGAGTTTATTGAGAGTTTTTATTGAAAAACGTTTTTTTTTTCAAGAATACTCAAATAAGATCTCCTTCTTCAAAAATCATCATAAAATATTGCTTGTTAGCCTTTTCTTTCTAAACTTGGTTGTTACCTTAAGTGTTTTCTTTGCTTCTTTATGAATTTTTGTCATGATAATAGCAAAATCCTCTCCCTTTGAACTTGATAAAAGTGATTTAGGTATTTTAGCAAGATCTAGATAATGAGGTGAAATACGATCATAAATAATCTCAAATAGACTCTTGCCTATAGAATGATTAACCAAAGAGTTATAAGCGAATTCAGCTTTAGCATGAGATCCCAGATCCCATTATTTTGATCTTTTCAGCAAAGCATTGAAACATATTATCCAAAGTTCTATTAACAACCTTAGTTTGTCCAATTGTTTGACGATGATAATAGGTTGGTGTCAAATTTCTTCCAAAAATTCTCTAAAAGTAATTAAATTTAGGATATCTGATGTAATAGATTTAGGAATTTTGTGAAGTTTGATCACTTCATTGAAATAAACGTTAGCATCCATGATTTTCTTGCAAGGAATAAAATGTTATTTTAGAAAATCGATCAACAACAACAAAGATAGAATCTATACCGTTTTGAGTTTTCGATAAATCAATCATAAAATCCATACTAATATCTTCGCACGAAGCATTAGGAATTAGTAAAAGAGTATATATATCAAAGATTTTGAGTTTGCCCTTTTGAAGTTTAGCAAAAATATTTTACTAATATCATTTCACATAACGTGTAACATCTTGACAAATTATTGGTAAAAAATATTTCACTTTGATGAGAAGTATTGTTTTGTCTCTCCCAAAATGACCTTCTAATCCATTATAGTGCAATTCAATACTCTTTTAGATAATATTTAGAAATACAAAGTTGGATTCCATGAAAGAGAAAATCATCTTCAATTTTATGATAGGATTCCATGAAAGAGAAAATCATCTTCAATTTTGTGATACTCACTTGTACATAACTTTTATGTTTCCTCAATATCTTCATTATTACAATAAGTACTTCTTATTTCATCAAATCATTTTAGTTTGGCTTGTATAGTATTAAGAAACCCTAATTGTCGACTTAGTACATTTACAATTTTATTACACATTTTATTCTTATACTTCATGACAAAAGTATACTTTTGTAAAAATGTCACCCATGTTGCATGTCATATATTAAGATTTGCTTGAGAATTTATATGTTTAAGAGCTTTATGATCATAATTTAAGATAAATTCTCTTTGAATCAAATAAGGTTTCAAATTGTCGTAGTGCTTGAAAAATAGCATAAAATTCAAATATCATAGGTTGAATAATTCTTTATTGTATTGTTAAACTTTTCACTAAAGAATGCAAGTGGATGTCCTTCTTGGCTAAGTACTCTTATGTGGCATCATAATCAACTTCAAATATTTTAGAAAGATCTGATAATACAATAATAAAAGCAGCAAATAATTTCACCTTTCTTGTTTGCCACAAGTGTCCATTCAAACACTTATTTCTTTATGTAATCAATTAGAGGAGCTGCAATTGTACTAAAATTTTGAATAAATTAATGATAAAAGAATGTCAACCTATGAAAACTCTGAATATTTTGTAGGAATGTTAGTGTTAGCTAAGTCTAGATAACTTTAATCTTCTCATAATCCACTTAGATACCTGTAGGGGTTAAGGTGAAGCCTAGAAAAGCTAGGCTAGAGGTCATGAAGGAATACTTCTTAAGATTTATGTATAATTTTATTGCTTTCAATGTTGATAAGATAGTTCTCAAATGTTCTATGAAGTTTGTTATGACTATAAATTAGAATATCATCAAAGTAAACAATAAAAAACTTCTTAATATAAGGGCATAGAATTTTATTCATTACCCACATAAAGGTGCTCGAAGCATTTGAAGGTCTAAATGACATAGTTAATCATTCATATAAATATTCTCGAGTCTTAAAAAATAATTTTCCATTCATCTCTTAGATTAATATGGATTTGATGATAATCGCTTCGAAAATCGATTTTAGAAAAAAATTGAGCACTAGCGAGCATATCAAACATATCCTCCACATGGGAATAGAAAATCTGTACTTGATGATAATCTGATTGATTGCTCGATTATCGATGCACATCTGCCTAGTTTTATCTTTCTTTAAAGTCAATAGAGCTAGAACGAAACACATGCTTAAGCTTTTTAAAATATAACTCTTGTATAATAGATCTATAACTTGTCTATTTAATTCTTTATGTTCTTTTGGACTCATTTGGTAGTGAGATTTGTTTGACAAAATTACCCTTAGAATTAGATTGATTCAATGTTGAATGTGTCGAAGAAGAGGTAAGCCACTAAAAAGTTCTTAAGAGTAGATGCTTTTGAATTCCTCCAAAATATTTTTACTTCACCATAAATTTCTATATATTGTATGCATTCTTTAGCAACTAATATAAATACAACTCCACTTTTTTTGCTCTATTGTAAACTTATTTAAAATAATGAAGTTATTTCTCTTGTAAACTTACTTTTTGCATGACAAAAATATACTTCTAACTCGATTGAATTTAAAAGTACAGGTGTTCTTTCTACCATCATGTATAGCATACTTATGATATTGTCATGATCTTTCTAAGAGTATATGACTAAAATCTATTGATACTATATCACACCATACGTTATCTTTATAATTTTTTTTTCATCGAAAAAGAAACTAGGTATCGATTAGTAATTTGTACCTCATTGTCTTTCTTTAACTATGGTTTTGTCTTGAGCTTAAGCTTGTCTACCATATCTTAAGACACAATATTCTCATAATTGTCACTATCAATAATAAGAGAACAAATTTTATCTTAAGACTTGTAACATGTCTTGAAAATATTATTTTATAACCATTCTTCATTAGAATCATCTCTTTGAGTAGCAAGCACTCTATGGATTACCAAGCATTCACCTTCTTCGGATGTAATTTCTTCATAAGCCTCATCGTGGTATTCATCATATATTGATTTTTTATCTTCAAATTATTTATTAATATCTTTTTCTTCGGTAAAGTTAACTCATCTATTTAAGCACTCGTTCATGTAGTATCCCACATGTTTGCATTTAAAGAAAGTAGGAAGGTAATTGGTGCGACTAGATTATCATCCATAGTTGGTAGGAGTTAATTCGGATGTATTTTTGATGATTCTGTTAGCTTTCGATCTACTAGCATTATAACGAGTGGAGTTAACTTTAGACGGGTAATGTAAAGGAACATTAGAATATCTCTTTGCTCCACTTTAAGTAAGCTTTACTTTAACTTTTAGCGCTAATTGATAAGCATAAGATAACCTCCATAGTCATTGCATCTTTACTTTATCTATGATTTCAAATCATAATTTGTAGGCCATCGACATATCTTGCAACAAGTTGTTCTTCCATCTCTTGAGTATTATATCGGGTCATCAACTTGTGGAATTCTTCAATGTAGTTGATGACGGTTTTGCTATGCTAAAGGTTGTTAAAATATGAAAAAAAGAGTTTGAACATAATCAAATGGAAGAAAATTCTCATGGAACCAAGATTTCATCTTCTCTCAAGTTGAAATATTTATCTTTCCTTTCCGAAGGCATGGCTATTGCATCTTGTCCTACCATATTGAAGCATAATCGAGAAGCTTTATAGTAATTAATTTTACTTTTCAATCTTCGAATATTTCCTTGTATTTAAAGAATTTCTCAACGGTACTAAGCCAATCAAAAAACTCTTTAGGCTGAAATTGATCATGGAACTTTGGTAAGTCAATCTTGATATTATCATTTGCATGAAAATATCTCTCCATAGATGAGTCTGTGACAACTTCTTTGGATGCAAAGAGAATCGATCATATCTTCGAATACATCACTCGCATAAATGTAACTTAAGCCTCTAAAGCCATGGGTTTCTTGATGTTTAAGGCACATAGTAAACTCTTCAACATGTCTCCTTAGTACTTCAATTTCTACAACCATTTCATCTATATATGGTTGCATCATTCTTTCGTTACGTCACCCTCTACCCCTTGTAATTATTGTAAGAAGAAAGTACTCGAATAGCATAACAAGACTCCGATACCAAATGATGTAAAACAAGATGAAGAGAGAAGAAGAGGATAAGAAAAAGAATTGAGATACAAGAGAACAAAAGAAAAATATCATTTTTTTCAAAGAGAATTATCTCTTTAAAAACATACCTACAAGCTAGTAGCTCAAAATATAAAAGTTTAATAAGGTTTTAAAAATAAAAATATCCTATTAATCTTCTTTCCTTCTTTTTTTTTTTTATAGATCCCTTTTACGTTGAATCTCTCAACCATCTAGTTAACGAGTCATAATTTACTAAAGGTCAAATACAAATTATAATATATATTAAATTTATAATATATTATATTTTGATTATTCCAAATTTTTATAATTATCTAAAGATATGAATCATTTCATTAAAATTTGATAAGATTAAATTTATAATTTATTGTCTTGAAATTCGAAAGCTTTCAATGTTTATTATTGCAATTACTTTTGTGTGAAGCTATCTAAAGGTTTCTGTCATTTACTAAGTTTAAATAAATAGGGAAGAATAAGATTAATCCTTTATAATTCTTTTATAATTAGATGATCATTACGTATAAAATTAAATCAGATCTCATAATCCTCTTAGATCAATACTTTTAAGTGAATCTCCACTTTTCAATAGTATAAGATAAAAAAAAACCCAAAAAAGAATATAATAAAAATTTTAAATATTTTTATATTTCTTAATATTGATAAAATATTCACGTATTCAATCCCAAATAATTATATATAGTAACCTCGTGCCTTTGATCATTTCTTTATCACGTGATACTTGTCAATGTAAGATTCGTGCAGAGGTTTGATTGAGACTTTAAGAGTTGCATCAGTAACATGAATTGTTCATCGGTCTATTATGCGATGAAGTTCGTGCCTGATGATCACGACTCGTGGTAGTGCTACGAGAGCCATCTCCTCGATTCACTCTCGCTCTCTCTCTTCGATCCTTTCTTCCACCGACGCAGTAAACCGGCGGGTCTTCTCCTTCTCCTCCAGCCAACAAGAAGAAGGCTTCCCGGACTCGCTCTCCCTGGTCGCCGCCATCAAATCCTGCGCCGAGTCCCTCAACCTCTCCGCTGGCCAGCAGCTCCACGGCCTCGCCCTGAAGTCCGGCCTTGACCGCTCCAACCTCTTCGTCCGCAACGCCCTCCTCAACGTCTACGCCAAATGCAGCCGCCTCGACTCCGTCCTCCGCATCTTCTCCTCCCCCAACACCGAGCGAGACTCCGCATCTTGGAACATTGTCCTGGCCTCCTATGTCAGGTCCGACCGCCTCCCCGGTGCCCGCAGGATATTCGACGAAATGCCTCACCGGGACGCCGTCTCCTTCACCACCATGATCATGGGCCTCGCCCGGAACGGCCGCCCGGACGAGGCCGTCGCCACCTTCCGGGACATGGTCGCCAGCGGTGTCCGGCCGAACGAGGTCACCCTGGCCACCGTCCTCTCCGCTTGCTCTCACCTACGCGCACCTCGAGGTGGGAGCATGATCCACGCCGCCGCCGTGAAGCATGGGCTTGTTGATTTCGTCCTGGTTGGGACCAATTTGGTGCACGTCTATGCTTCCTGTTCCCGGATAGATGACTCCCGATCTGCCTTCGATGCGTTGCCGGAGAAGAATACTGTCACCTGGAACGTGATGCTCAATGGCTACGCCAAGGCCGGACAAGTCGGTCACGCCAAGGATTTGTTCGAGAGAATTCCGGCCAAGGACTTGGTTTCATGGAGCACATTGATTGACGCGTTCTTACGGGTTCAAAGATTGCAGGAAGCTCTCAGAATATACCGTGGGATGCTGCAGGATTTGGGTGAGAGGCCGAATGAAGTGCTGATGGTTGATTTGGTGTCGGCTTGTGGGCGCTGTTCTGCGGTCCAAGAAGGTCAGCAGTTTCATGCCGCGATTACCAAGATGGGACTCGACCGCCACACCTTTGTGCAGTCAACGTTGATCCATTTCTACGGCGCATGCGGTCTGGTCGATCTTGCTTGCCTTCAGTTCCAAGCTTGTCGCCAGTCGCATGTTGCTTCCTGGAATGCCTTGTTGGCTGGACTCTTGCGGAACAACTTGGTCGAAGCAGCAGCAGAATTGTTTGATAATATGCCTGAAAGAGACGTTGTCTCTTGGAGTACGATGATTGCTGGTTACGTCCACAATGGTTCCTCCCACTTGGCTCTACAGCTCTTCCAAGAAATGCAGCACAAGGGCTACGAAGCGAACGACATCACATTGGTGAGTGTTCTGTCTGCCGTTGCCGATTCGGGCACTTTGGATTACGGGAAGTGGATCCACGATCTCATAACCATCAGAAGGATTCCTCTCACCGATAACTTGAGCGCGGGGCTCATCGACATGTACGCAAAGCGTGGCAGCATAGGAAACGCGCTCAACGTGTTTGACATTGTGAAGGACTCAGCATCAGTGTCACCTTGGAACGCTATAATATGTGGCCTGGCCATGCACGGGCATGCAGATATGTCCCTCGAAGTGTTCATGGATATGCAAAGTAGGAGCATCACACCAAACTCCATCACATTCATTGGGGTGCTGAGTGCGTGCTGCCACAATGGCTTGCTAGACACAGGAAGACGATATTTTGAGAGCATGAGAAGAGAGTACAACATCGAGCCTACCATCAAGCACTATGGTTGCTTGGTTGATCTGCTAGCACGAGCTGGTTGCTTGGAAGAGGCAGAGCGGGTGATCGAGTGGATGCCGATGGAGGCAGATGTGATGATATGGGGAAGTATGCTGGCTTCTGCGAGGACCCATGGGAAGGTTGAGATAGGGGAGAGGGCTGCAGATAGCTTGGCTAGGTTGGAACCCAGTCATGGGGCTGCAAGAATTCTTCTGTCTAACATCTATGCAGATGCAGGTCGATGGTCTGATGTCTTTATGGTGAGGAGGGCGATGCAGAGCAGTAGATTGGACAAAACACCGGGATGGAGTGGCATTCTATGACAACTAATTGACACGATATCGGGTAATTTCACTGAGAAATGCTTTGTTTATTTGTAGTAACAATAGTTGATAAGCATTGAGAAGGAGGATGAAAGTTGTTTTTGTATGTATGGTTGGGGAAGAATCAATCAAGCTGAACCCCCCCTCCCTTTACATTTCAAGTTATTCATTTCCAGACTACTTGAAAGAGAAGTTGTGACTAATCTATAGTTGGATTGATTCAGATGTTGAAGCAAAGTTGCAGTAGCCCATGGATGTGTCATGAACAGCAGCAGCAGCAGCAGCAGATCCTAGTCAAGACAAGTCCTTAGATGTTTTAAGGTAAAAGTTCCATTATAATCATATATGTGCTCAACTCAAAAGATCCATTTTCTAGTGTAGAAAATGCCTCACTTTAATATTACTAAAAATATAAAAAGTTTTCCTCTGAAAACAGTTACAAAAGAACACTAGAATCAGATTCATGAGTTGGCACTCAGAGATCCTTTCTCGTTTAGTCATTGTTTCAGACACTACCTCTTCAAACACCGAACCGCTCAATCCGAAGATGGAGGAAGGGAGAGGAAAGGCGGACTCATCGACCATGGTGGCGATGGTTTAAAAGCGAAGATGAGGTTGCGGGCGGGGTTGGAGCCGACCACAATCAATGTATAGCTCTACCACATAGTTGAGGAGAGTTGGGCTGCTTTAGTTGACCTCGCCGCCACCACTTGAGTTGTACTCCTTATTCTGAATTGGTGATGACATAAATTAATCATTGTAAAAGAATAGCCCTTTTTTATGATAATAATTAATTGATGAAGGGGACTCTTACCATCTATATAACATAACATGAACGAGGGTTGTTGTAGCTACACGAGCATCTTCTTCTCTGCACGACTATGGTTGCTGAACTTTGAATACTTAGGTCTTTCGATTGATGCAAAGTTGGGTTTCTTAGTTTTTCTCTGTCTATATCTCATTATATGAGTTAATCATAGCAATAGATTACAACCTTTTTTATAATAACAACTATTTAATGCAAGGATTTCAAAATATATGAGTCTATATACCATGAATTAGGGTCGTTGTCGATGTATGATCGATCACCTTCACCGTTTGACGATATGACTATGGTTGCGACATTGCGAAGTTTCTATGTGGCGCATTTCGTCACTCGCCTTCCATCATCGTCTCCATCTCACCATATATATTTTTTCTTTCTCTTTCCTCTTCTTTTCTTCGGGTGCCTTTGGTGTGTTGATCCATAAGCTTGTTATAGTCTCAAATCATTCCGACTTGGCACAAGTCCAATACCCAAAATTAGATCGAGGCCTCCATGTACTGGTTAAATAATACAACCACCCAAATGCATGACAATTTCGGATTTCCTGTAGCCACTCAGTGAAGTAATATATCAACTGCAGAAAATTCTCCACAGCCATATATATATGATAAGTGCAAGCAAGCTAAGCATGCCTTTTGAAAGCTTGCCATGTTGAATATAATCTCCAATTAATCTAAATTGTACACAAACATATGTTCATTTCTACGTGCATTTATATGTATGTTGGACACAAACACATGAATACACGTAAGCTCCCTATGCATGACATTGATACGACAACCTCAGATGTGTGAAGCAAATGGAGACCAAAGACCTATATATTGGGGGCAATTGTAACATTGTAACTCTATATACATAAACGCATCCTCAGCAACTATGCTTGTTAGGTTTTCTGGTTCAGACTTGGTATCCAGAATTAAAGTAATTCACGCAAAAGATCTAAACAAATCGCTAAACGATGACAACTAAATGGAAATACATTAAGATGAGAAACATTACAGTGTACAGTGTCCCATATTGCTTTGGTCATTCCGTTTATGATTGTCCTTCAACATGCATCACAGCAATCCAACCGGAAAGTGCCCAACAACATCAGCAAACTATGTGACCAGTCAATTAGGTATGATAGATAAAAGACTAATGCTTGGATGATGGACCATCAAATTCGACTTTCCAGTAGGTCATAAATCTCCTCTTGTCAAATTGTATGAAACAATTCCGGTCGCGACACCAAAGATTAGTGGTTTCTCTCCGGTTGGTGTGCTCTGGTCAGCGAGCTTGAGACCCTCCATAAATGTTCGTACCGCTTGCAGTACTCATGCCACCATAAGAATCAATTCCCTCGGCCGATGCCCCACTGGTCATGTGAGCTTGAGGCCTTCCATGTGCTTCAGTATAGTGGGCAGGATTAGCATAGCCAAAACCTGCATCTGCATAGTTTACAATGGGAACATGGCTACCAGCCATGTAGCCACCACCTCCCATGCTAAAGCTGTGATTTGGATAACCAGTGCCTTGTCCTGCTGTCTGATGCATACCTCCATATTGGTTGGGTGCTGTTTCACAGAGGAATTTCAAGAAAAATGTGACTAGATAGAACAATCAAAATATACACAAAGACAAGATCAGAAAAATAAATACCATTTATTATCTGTTCAGTACCTGTCACTTCAGCTCTCAGCCTCTCGACTTCTTTGGCCATAGACATCAGGTTTTTCTCCATGGCACGCATCCGCTCCACTTGCTCGATATTCAAACCCTTCTCATATTCAAAAGTAGCACTTTTCCAAAAAGAAAAAAAATTGCAATTTAGTTATTATCTCAGAAACAAAAAAAAGAAAAAAATTAATGAAGAAAAATTCCAAAGGATATAAGAACCACACAACACACCGTAATGTCTGGTGCTCCTGTCTCAAGCCATCTAACTCAGAATGCATCTCAGGCAACTTTTTGAAGCCTGCCGTTGATTTTTGTAGTTCTTCTGTCACGACCTGTATCTCAGCAGAGAGTTCCTGTCTCACAGTTATCAGGTTCTGTGCCTCCAAATGTGCTTGTTGGAGTTCCTTCTTCACCACATCACCAGAATGGATATCATCTTCCAGTTTCCCAATCTTCTCCAGTAATCCCCTAATTTGGATATCACTTTCAGTATGGATACTTCCAAGATAAGCCTGCACTCTCTGCATTTCTTTCTGAGTAGCAACGAGCTCCTGTCTCATGGCCACATTACTCTCCGCGAATCTCTGGTTTTCTCTTGCAATCCTTTCCATCTCAGCTTCTTGAATTGCAACCTTTTTTTCGAGGTGCTCAGGTGGAAGAAGGGCTTCTCTGGGGTGATGATCAGCAGGACCTGGCCCGGGAAGTGGTCCATGGCGCATCATTCCAGGAGCTTGGATAGGCCGTCGCCCATAAGATGATGGCATACGTCCATGGGCATCCATGCTTCCAAATTCACTTGTATAGGATCTAAATGTATTGAATTAAATATTTAACATGTTGTTAGTATAAATGTTGAAAAGAAACTTTCGGTAAGAGAAGAATTAAAAGAGAACACGACAAATTCACATGTCCAGAGATCCAGATTATAAGGAATAAAATCCATGGCATTCTGTTGTCCATGACAAAATAGTTTGTGTGATTATTCGTCAAAAAATATATTGTTTGAAGAATGTGTCTCCGATAATTGGTACCCACACCACTATATACAGAATGCATAAGCTTTCATGTCTTTGTAAAGATCCAGCAGACTTCACCTTTAATTATCATAAGACAACGTTAGTAGTCATTCCCAGAATCACTTTATCTTATATATCTACTAGCAGCTTTGGTATAATTTACATAGGTCAAGATGAAAAATAAGATGAAGGGTCTACAAGCTTCCCCAAAAATCTTTTGTTGTGTGTACCATCTAGCCCTCAAAATGGTCTAAAGAATGAAACCAAAGCCATCAAAACCACAAAAACAAAATTGTTAAGTTCTTTTAATTTATTCAACTGTAGCCTGCACTGCTGCAATCCCTAGATCATGCGTATTTATCTACATCACAAGAACATTACTACTATATTGTTGGTGCTAGTTAACAAAGTTAAGATGAGTAGAACATCCTAGCACCTTCCACCACCATCACTGGTTCTAACGAGGAACAATATACCGACACCAATCCTGCTACAACACGTCTACATCAACACCCTCCAAGTCAACATTCCCCACCTGAATTAGGGAGGAAGGACGACCCAGTGCGACCCAACATGTCTACATCATACGGTTTGGCCCCTAGTACGAAAAAGACAGCAAGCCAAAAGGCCTTGCATCAGGCATCACTTTTTGACTGGGCATTGTTCCTACGCCAATCACAATTCCCATTGATCCGACCAAAAACTGCCCTTTGCACCAGAGACCACTTCCCCTGTCAAGTTTCAGATGCCTCCTGCCAAGCACCAAACATAATTTTCCATGGCAGTCACCACTCCCCTGGTTAGCATCATTACCGGTCAGGAGTCATCCCGTGTATCACAGACATAGAGGATGTCCCCTATCACCATGAAAAGTACAAAAAGTTCCTCCCTAATTGTACATTATGTAACCAATCCCGTATGGTAATAATAGGACACATTCACTCACTTCAATCCTAATTTTAACTTTCCTACAATTACTTTCACTTGGACTCGGGGTTCCATGAATCCCTAGCCCTTGGGAACTCCCTACTGACTTGAGTGCCGGCAGAGGATTGTCGAAGAAGGCTCTAGCATATCTTTCTGTCTTGCAAAAAACCCTTTTCAAAGAGACGAACGAAGGAATGTGACTCTGGTTGGTTCCACTCGAACTAGCGTGAATTATGACCCTCGTCTTTGTGATTTACGAAGAGATCCATCAAGTTCCAAAGATCTTATTCCTCTTCCAAGAAGTTGGGGCGAGCAGCAAAGTTAAGCAAATGATAAAAAACAACTGTTTATTCTACAAAATAAAAGATTGATTTCTGTGTTTTCTTATCTTCTCTTCTATTAACATATTTGTTAAGAAATAAAAATCGTATCTTTTAACCATAAATATAAATACAATTTGCATTTCTCGGGCAATAGGCTAAAAGAAAGAAAAACTAAAGAGCTTCTGAATTTAGTTGTGGACTAATCATGTACCAACACAAAGTCAGCAATTGCTCCCAACAAAACCCTAACCATAAGTGCGAGCGAGGACGCCCAGGGTGGAAAAGAGAGAGAGAGCCTTACGTCGGAGCGCGCTGATTATGCTGTGGATTGACGACGGAGCGACGGCGGTGGAACGGTGGAGCTGCGACGGAGGCCCGGTGTAGGTGTCGACCAGAGCCCTAATCGCGTCCCTTCCCACTGCGACTCCAGAGAACCGGGAAGAAAGAGACGGCAAAAAAGAATATAAAAAAGGAGTTCATAAATTAGACTTTAAAATAATAATAATAATAATAATAACAATAATAATAATAATAATAATAATATAGTATTTATTTATTTCATTTTTTTTTCTCGATCGTAGAAATTTTAAATCAAATAATAATAATAATAATAATAAGGTGATTGTGTTATAGTTGATTGGAGAATCAAAATCAAAGTACATCAAAATTGAACTACAAATGTCCCTAAAATCAGCAATTACAACTAATCTCATGTGAGTCAAATTCATTTTGTTTTAAGTTATAATTATATCGTTACAATGTTGTTAAATTACGAAATTATATTTATTTTTTAAAATAATATTAATATAAAACTATATATAATATATAAGATTTAATATAATATATTCGTTTTTAAATTATGGGTGGTAAAAAAATTAACATAAAATTCATGCACTTTAAAATCATATTGTATATTTAAAATATGTCTAAAAAATACAATAAAAGTAAAATAATGAAAAATGATCATGCCATTTAATATAATAACAAATTTTGATATTTATTTGCATATGTCTTAATATTTCTTATTTTTATTTGTATTTTTATCAGTTATTTAGTCTACTTCTATGCATAAAAAAATGTGATCAATGTTCAAATGAATAAATAATCAATCCATTTCGGCCAAAATTATTCTTAAATAAATTATAGATCATGAATCTGTAAGCCAATTTTTAGAATATTTTCTCTCATCTATTACACAATGTCATGAACCTACTTGTTGACCCAAATCATGTGAGCTAATATATATATATATATATATATGCTCAAAGTAATGATGATAGAGCAATCTAATCATAAATAAAACATGAGACAAAATTGAGTGTGGAATGTAATTTTGATCCTAACAACAAAATATACTCCAATCCTTTATTAACATTCATTGTGCATGATATTAATATTTTTTTTCCAAATGTAGAAACTATTTAAATTACTTCACAATTCTAGTGCAATAAAACCCTTACCCTTTAGAGCACAAAATAGAGTATAAATGGTAGGTCATTCTCCACCACCAAAATTTTGACTTCCTCTAAATCCTTCAATGTAATTGTAAGATATTTTAAACTCAAAAAAATGTTACAATATAGTAAAAAAACATTTCATGAATTTTGCAGCTTGAATCGTTTTCCAATATAGTATCCATTATATGTATATATATATATATATATATATATATATGTATATATATGTATATATATATATGTATATATATATATGTATATGTGTATATGTATACATATACACGTATACATATATATGTATACATATATACATATGCATATATACATATATACACATATATATACATACATATATATATATATACATATACATATACATATACATATACATATACATATACATATATACATATACATATATATATTCACGATGTGATGATCGAATCGTTCACAAATTGGCTGACGACGACATGAATTTGGGCTTTCTTCCACTCTCGACCCAGCCGAAACGAACAAGCTGCTAGGGGTTGCTCCGCTGTGCCAGCCGAGGCAGGCTACAGGTTTGATGTCCACTGATGTGATGAATTTTACCCACGTCACCATGGGCCCCACTACTTTTACGGTCCACTGTCGGAAGATTTCCCTGAATTGCGTTGTGAGAGGGACAGCCGAGGGGTTGTGGAGCACCGCGACCTTTCGGAAGCCCATCTCGGCCTTCGCGTCGCATCGCATCGCATCGTGCCGGCGAGCAGTCGTTGACACCGCGCGGACGCCCAAAATAAACCCGCAGCTGCTTTTGGGATCGCGTCGCGTGCGCATCGAGCGTGGGGTTCTGGCTCACCAAACCCTCGTTTCGGCATCGATCGGGCCGGGCAGCACAAGCGGAGGGCGGGAGGGATGTCGGGAATCGAGATCAGCGTGCTGCTGGACAAGTCCAAGGAGCTGGACCAGCTCCGCAAGGAACAGGAGGAGGTCCACCAGGAGATCAACAAGATCCACAAGAAGCTACAATCCAGTACTTCACCCCCTATCCTTCTCTTCGCCCCCTTTCACAATAGCAACAACAAAAACAGCATTTTGCTTCTTGAGTTGTTAGTGCTGCGTCTCCTTTCGAGCCATTGTTGATTTCTGTTGCTTTCTGCCTTGATTCTTGTCTTGCTTCTCTTCCACAAGGCGTTGTGTTGAGGTTTGCCTGTCGTGTTTTGCACACTGCAACATCTGGGGGATGAAAGCCTTCGGTCTCGCTAGAGCGCATATGGCAAATGTCAATTCCTCTCGTTTCTTTTTTGTTTTTACTGGAAAGAGTACAAATTGTTTACTGAAGCATGATCTGAAGCAGGTATTGCCTATAAATTAACAAATTTGCTGATAGGAGTTCCGAGTATTGCATTTTTGGCATGATCTACACGGTCCGCAAACATCTATAAGTTGTTAAAATAATGCCTCGCGAACACTGAATTTGTGCACTTTAGTCCACTTTTCGTATTAGTTATTAGATTTGTCCTGTTAACTTGCTGTCACTATCATTGTTTCGATGTGGTTATATAGTTGTTGGTGTGGTACATATCTTCTCTGTTCCTAGATGTTTTGATGTTTCTATCTGTGATGTATCTAGCTCTGGAGGCATCGGATGCCATATTAATCAAGCTCAGACAACTGTATTGTCAGGCCAAAGAGTTGTCTGAAAATGAAGTCAGGTATACACCAAGAACGAAACTTTCAAATTCCATATCAATTTTTATTTACCAAAAGGTTGTACTGTTGTGCATGTAAATGGATAGTTCATCTAAAACTTTTGAGTATAATTTTTTTCAGCATCACGTTGGTTTTTCGAAGTTTAATTAATGACAAAGTTCTTTTAATCATGGAAACATCTGCTAATATTTAGCATTTTTATGAGAATGCCTTACGCATGCATTTTACTGCTTGTGCTTGTTGATTGATGTGGTTTCGTTGTTGAAGAAAATGATTCTGAACATGACTTCTGTTGTTTCTGGATGTAGATGAACCCTTTTCTTTATCTATTTGTCGCATTGTACAAATGAGCCTTCAGCTGCGTTACATAGAAGAACATATGATGGAATTGAAAATTTTAATTGATTCATTCTCTTCCTATTGTTTTTTGTTTATAAAGATTAATTTGAAGACTTTCATTCAAGCCCTAGTCGTTAAATGTGCTAATTAGTGCAAAATGGTGAGAATTTTGTGCATGTATGTTTCTTTTTTGGGGGGATTTTTCCATTAAACACTTCAAACAAATCACTACAATTTTATCATTTTTTTGTTCAATTTTGTATTCTCAAATCACACCTAATGAGTATCTTGAGCATACACTTAAAATAGAGGACGATTGACATTCTCATTTTAAACACCTGCCTTCTGGTATTGCCTAAAAATACATATGTAAATACCAAGCATACTGAATCAGAACAATTCAACCACAGAATCATCACAAGGACAAACCATAATATATGCTTATGTGCTACTTCATATAATCATATTTCATAAGAGCAGTTGCTGAGTGTTTGATGGTGTTTAAAAAATTTCAAGATTGAGCTTCTGTTTGGCAGATGCAAACTGCTGCCAATAAAATAATTTGGATTTATTTGTTATATGATTATGTCTTTGTTCGTAGTGCATATATTTGGGCTATTGTTGAAAGGTCAGGTTTAGGATAGGCAAACCTTTTTCCTTCACTTCTCAGGAGTTTACATTAGTTTGAAATTTAAAAATTTGACGTGCTTGATTCTAGTTATGTAAAGGGGAGATATTTTTCTATGAAAGGTGTAATTTTATGACTGGTAACTAAAGAGAAGGTACATTTGTCGTTGCTCAAAGAACTTTCTGTCATAAGGCAACTTTCTATGCTATTACTTTTATTTTCTTTCTTTATTCTTCTTATGAAACATGTCTCATAAAACATGTTTCCTTAAAGTTCTTGGCTGTTTTCTATTGCAATCGGAATTTTTGTCATCTGCGAATAGGCCCCATGGAACATGTAGGCATTATTGGTTGGTCCTACATCATCAACTGAAAAGAGTGGAATCATCAATATAAACAAATAAATACTATTGGAAGGTCAGCTGCTATAATATCATGTGAATATAAGGGGACTCTTAAGGGGGCTTTTTTTCAGAAGCTGCCACCCTTATAGTTCGTTTAAGGGTATATGCACATTCTATTATGTCAGGACAACAAGATTATCTATGTAGTACGTTGCATTATTTTTAAAATTGTGGTGGTTGGTTGTAATATTCTCAATATTTCTTTGATCTGACATTTTTATATAATTTCATGCTTTAGTGCTTCAAATGCATTGATGAGTCAGCTTGATGCTTTACTACAATCTGGACTTTCAGCTGCGCAAAGGAAAAAAATCGGTAAGGACAACATATTTCAGGTTTTCCTGTTTTAGTTAGTTTATTGTGTTTCACTTTTTTCTTGGTATCGGTTAAGCTTATCGAAAGTTCCACTTTAAATTTTGAGGGTCTAGGCAGGATGTTATCTTGCCATCTAATGCAGCTTCACAAAATGACCTGTAAATATAATTTGCAGATTGTTGGTTCCTTACGATAATTGCAGCTTTGTCCAAGTTTGATTCATTTTTTGTTTTGTTTTAGTAGTTTGAGTTTAAGGCTATGGTGATATTTTTACTGTCAGATAACTAAACATCTCTTCTAGTATCTTTAAATGTCAAGTTAATATTTTTGCTACTTTAGTTTGTTCTTGGTTATAGAGAAATTGTCCATTACATATATATGATGTCTTTGAAATGGCCAACCAAAATGACTTTGTTTGACAGTAAATTGCTGCTGTCTCCTGTTGGCTTATTACCTGTGCTTCCTTTTTCTTGTGTATACTGCTCCAGAAAAACATAAGATTACATATGTGATCATTTAGTCTTGTTCCATGATTTTTTGGACAGTAAGAACTTTTTCTGTTGTATTTCATTACATACGAAGAGTGACATAATCCTTGGATTGTGAACCCATGTGTGGTTGACAAATCTTTCGGTTTATTGATTCTTATTTTGAATATGTTTGATGGTTGGATAGGAAACTTTTATTCTGAGAATATCATTGACAAAATTATCATTGAAACTCAAAAGATTACTATTACTAACACTATAATTTCATGCTCAAATCTTACTACATAAGCATTTTGTTTCTGTTTATTTTTATTAGTCAAGTTGATGATGATTCACTGCAGAAGTAAGTGAGCAGAAAAAGAAGCGGATGAAGTCCGATTCAGATATTGCAAGATTTCCTCCTACTGCATCTATGAGAAGCCAACTTGAGCATGCTGCTAACCTGAAGGGTGAACAGGTACACATGCTAGACCTCTATTGGTACTGTATATAAGATGGTCTATATCATTGCTGACCTCTTTCTGGGAATAATCTGCTTCACATAAGTTCTTTGATTTAGCTCATCTCTTATGTTTCAGAGTTCTTGTGGTCACTTGAGAAATTCTAGGTGGTTAGTCATGGAAGAACATATGGTTGTTTGCACCAACTAAAAGACACTGAAATCTCTGTGTAAAGGCCAAATTATGGGCTGCAGTATGGTGAATAAATTTAGGTTCACTCCAAGAAAAATATTAATTGATAAACTGATGCTTACTCAGTGATGTAGTGAAATTGTCAAGACTTGGTTAAACATGAGTACCAACAGTGAACTCATATATGCTTAATTGAGTATGGCTTGCCACTTACAAGTAAAAGCTCAAATCTAGCAACCCCTTGAGTATGGAAGTGGTGTTTAACGTGTATATTTTGGAAGGAAATCAAGATACGATGCAGGTTTTTAAATATATGCATATTCTTTAGTAAAATTCTGGTCTGGACTCAGGAAAAACTTTACCTGTTGCCGAGTATTTCTCAAGTGTTCAAGTTCTGTATACTGATATGGACCAAACAGATAAAAGAAGTGGATATGTATTTAAACTAAATTTAATCCTGTTTTTCCTGAATACTGTTGTCCAAGTTTGAATAGTATAAGTGCTGCTGATGCTGAATATCTAGTTAGTTTCAGACATGACAAATTTGTGCTTGATCATGTAAATGATCTTGCTAGAGCCTGGTAAAGAATGACATTTATGATCTGAAATCATGTGCATGAATGAAATTTTCTCGAGAAGTTTCAGGAGGGCTAGCTTGTTCCTTGTGGAATTCTTAGGCAAGATGCAACTGTGTTTTGTTCTTGAATTTTTCTTAGTAGCAGTTTAAGTTATAGCAGTTGACCAGAGAAGATCAAATTGTGTTCTGTATAAGCACAGAACAGCAAAATCCATAAGATGCAAATATATGTGATTAAAGATATTTGATGCAAGAATTTGGCTTTCCAGGAACTTAACCAGTGGGAAAAGTGAGTGATGACTCGTACATAGAATGAATTGCATAGGAACATAGATATTGGCATGTGGCTGTTGAGGCTGCTATTTACCATGCTGACATGCGATGTATGGTTAAACCTTGCCTGTCTAATGCCACTAGAGATCTGTTTTGATAACAGATGATTGACAAAAGATGATAAGTATGGTAAATGTGAGTGTAATACGGGTCCAGAGACTTGATTCTTGTTCTTGGGAACAAGATTCGCCGTATCGTACCGTACCAGTATTTCGACCCGGGCTCGGTATGGTATGGTACCGGTGTACCGAGTGGTACATCAGGGCATACCGAGCGGTACACCCTGATGTATCGAATAATTTTATATTTTTTTTTCATACTGTAGCAGTGCTACAGTATACTACTGTAACACTGTAGCGGTATCGGGCGGTCCGCGTACCGGTAACCTATCGGACCGGTACGTACCACCCGGTACGGGCGGTATGCTTCGGTATGACAGACCTTGCTTGGGAATATGTTAACCATGACTGTTTTGTACCTTATGCAATGAGCACATATAACTAATCCTCTTTTTCATTTTCTGAAAGCATTGATTGGCCAGTGTCATAAGAGAAAGCTAATAATTTACTTTAACAGTTTCAGTTAAAAAATCTGCAAGGAATTTGGTTTTCATGGAGGAGATATGCTCCTAGATTTTGCTGTCAAGTCAAGATGAAAAATAACAAAGAGCCGGGTTAGAACAAGCAGCAAGGTGGAGGATGATCAGTCTTTGACCAGCTGGAGCAAGTTTGACATTCTGGGTTCTTGTCTGATAGAGCTAAAAGCCAAACTGACATTAAAATGCCTGTCTAAAATAGTGTAAAACTGACGTAGCATCTTTTAGTTAGCTTGTTCTTAATAACATTTTGTGCAAAGAAAATATTGGAAGGGTCTAAGGTAATTTTTTTCCTGTAGGAAGGTGAGAAAGTGTTTTATAAGATTAAACTTTTTTGAAATGAATTAGATGTTCTTTAGCAAGAACTGGAGAAATCTTTTAATGCTTTTTTGTTATGTCATGCACATAGGCTTCTCTGCTTTATGACTTAAGTCACTCCTCTTCAATGATTATTTCTATTATGGACAAGTGCTCAAAAGAGACATATTTCTGGTTAATCAACTTTCATTCAATTATTTTATGAATTTTAATAACATTATTCAATTTTAGTATCTCTGGAAGCACTTTTTATTTTTCAGGTGGCAGCTAGGGTCTCATCTGATGATGCTGAAAAAGATGAGTGGTTTATTGTGAAAGTTATAAATTTTGACAAGGATACAAAGGAGTAAGCCTTCTGCATCTTACATTGTATTAGCTTGATTGTTAACCAGATTATTTAATTGAACTTTTGTTACATTCTGAATTCCATATTCTTTACATAGTGTAATGTGCTTTAATGAGTTATATAAAGAAGACTGGACTGGGAAGGAAGAGGCCTAATGCTAACTTCCTTGCTTTGTGCTTTAAAAATTAAAATAAAATAACAAATGGAACATGGTCAATTATGAACCAGTCGCAAGAGTATGCAATGAGGTTATCTTTTTATATGGTAGATATTGATGTATTTCTTCTTGAAGGATGGAAATTCAAATGCTATTGGGAGTATCCATGAAATTTTGTTACTTAGCAAATATATGCAATAAGTTAAGCTCTGATGCTCTGTCTTGTTTGGGTTCTCTTTTTATCCAAAAATCATTGACCTTATTGGTTGGTTATTTGTTCATAAAGTCTTCTGCAAACAAAATACACTGGTGGACTTTTTTGTGCCAAAAAGTGGATACTTCTTCTGACTAAGCTTCAGCTTAACTCATAAGCATATTCAAAGAAGTCTAATGTCTGGGATTAGAACATTAAATTCTCATGTAGCATGTTTGTGCTGGTTGGTAGTCCACATAGTTTAAATACTGCACCTATCATGCTTGCTGGTCAGTGCCACACTGCATTGCACTTAAAATAAGTGTTGGGTGAAACATTTCATGCTGACAGTATTGATTTCCAGAACTGGGTTTTTCAACTTTAGCGCTCTTGTGCGCATTGCTGGCACACAAATTGGCCTTGGTATTATAAGCAAACATCATTTGAAATGCAATAACATCTTATTCTTAAGCTTCTTGTTCAATGTTTCAGCAAATTCTCATGCACGTAATCAAAATGGTCAACATTCATATTCTAGAACAATCTCCTTGGTTCATGCATATTTTAACAAATAAAATGCTCTTCAGTCATGTTTCAAAAAGATTGAGACAAATGTCTTTATTTGGTAGTCCAAATGCATCTGTTTCATTTAGTTGAGAGGAGACCTTGTTCCTCCAATACCTAGACATGCAATGATAGTCCATGGTCATGTTTATGTACTACTCGTTTGACGTCTCACATCGAACACGAATAGCTTTAGCAATCTTCATCATAATGATAGAGTGGTATAGATTAAAGCAAACAAATCTAAGAGTCCATTATGGTTTCTACTTAATGTTGATTTGTAGTATTAGCCTCAACTTGCTGTACAGACCCATAAAATTTGTTGTATAAATTTGTCTTTCTTGAGCCTAACAAACTGTCATGTATCCACAACTGTTGTCACACAAAAGCTGTTTGCCAGAAGACCTCACCATGCATAAAAAATGATATCACTTTGATTTCTTGTTTGCCAGATGTCCTTAAGGTATTGCGATATTTATTCTAGTTAATTTTACTAAGAAGCTTTTTAGCTCTTTTCTCTTTCCAATTTGTTGTGCTTCACCTCTAGAATGCCTTTTATTGTTCTTATATGTACATTGTGTTCATGCCTATGATTATTTTTCAATATGCATACTTTTAGATGCTTATATCAGATGTTCATCCTTGGTGATAGATTCACTATTACCCGCTAATATGTTTTAGATTATAGTCATTGGTAGAGCTTTATCTTAGTCCAACTCTGGATATCAACTTATGTGGAAATTATTTTTGATCCTTAATTTCTTGTCTTATAAAACATGCAGATTTGAAGTTTTTGATGAGGAACCTGGTGACGATGAAGAAAGTGCACAAAGGTAGTGTCTTCTATTTCACAGATTTTATTAAATATGGAAAATTAATTGAGATAACTACAGAATGCTAGATCATACTCCACTTCGTGAGAAATCTTTGAGTGATTTGGAACTTCTAAGTTTTTTTCTTGGAAGAAAATGACAAACGATTCTATTTTCATGTGCATACACATGTTTATGCTAGATATTGCGGGAAGAGTGTTTGAGACACCACTCATCAACAGATGTCTGCATTTCTTGCCCAAACAACATATACAATTTTATATTTAAATTTGAATTTCCATATTGTCTCTCTAGTCTGTGCAGTGACTAATTAAGCACATAGTTATGTGTTAGTCTGATAGAGTGATAAAAGAAAGTGACTAACTATAAGATCAGTACAATTCAGTATTTATTATGAGTTCTTACTCCACATGTCGAGTTTGGTCATTATAAGTCATCCATGTACAGGGCAACTAAAAGAATCGGAACTATAAAAGAAGCCTGATATTATTATTATTATTTCCTAAGTATGATCTCGGGATACTCAGAGCGAGAAATGAAACTGGTGCCATATAATGTTATGTTATATTCTTGTAATATTTTAAAATAAAACATGCATACTTGATACTATCTGCAACCCACAATACAGGAAATCTATTATTAACATGTGTACTGGTGAAAAATGCCCTAATCTCAATGTCACTGCAAGAAATAATCACTGGCCGTTGAACTGTAAGGACCGCCTGTTCGAGTTGGTTTTTATCAAAAAAAGATGTTCAACTCAATTTTACCTGGTTTAATCTATTGTCCAAGGTCCTGAATTACCATAATACCCTGGAGTAAGGTTGTTTTTATAAGGCCAGTAAGTGAAAACTAGCTTGTAGGCTCCAAATTTATCAAAGATTGGAACAATTGCCTCACTAATTTGCATAAGCCGCATATTTTCTGTTTTCTGCATTTTTTTCTATTTAATAGAAGGATGATTTTTTACTCCTAAAATTTACATTATTTGCCTTGAAAATATTAGTATGTGTTTGTTTTTCCATCCACTTTAATTCATAATACTAATTCAAACTTATTATTTGTTCTCACTCTTTGAAACTAAATCTTGAACAATGATTAAATGATTCTTTTTGCTTGGTAGCAACTCTTTTGTTTTTGTTTTGCTCTAATCAATATCTACTGTTATGTTTTTAACTTTCCGGTTGTACCTTCAATAGGCCATCCTGAACATTGGCTGCTATAACAATGAATTTCTCTGTTCATTTGTGTTTGAAAAACCTTTTCATTCATTGAATTATCTGGTCCTCATCTCCTGCTTCTACAGATATTGTGTGCCTTCTTTCATAAAATTATAATTTTAACTTGTAGATCTATCTTTCTGAAAATGTACAAACTCTTCTTTTTCCCTTGTAAAGGCATAGTGAGAGTTCTTAGATTTGAACTTTTATGTGACAAGTTGTATGGAGAACCACACTTTCTTGAGTCATTGATGCACTTGTAGTGTTTAACTGTTAGCCATCTGGCTTTGTTTTCTTTCAGCTCTCTGGAAGAGTAATGAAAATCTCTCATTGTATGGTTTTTTGTAGTTACTGAATTCATCATTGCATTGAGGAAGCCTGCAATAATTAACTGAAAACAAGCAGTTAGGATAGACCTAATAGATATGATTATGGTATTTTGAACGATTGCTTGACATAATAGATTAATGAAGATTGACCAATGTCTTTCTGATGTATTTCTTTACTCCATTTCAGGAAGTACAAGCTGCCTATGTCACACATTATTCCTTTTCCAAAGAAAAATGATCCTTCTAGTGCACCAGATTTCCCACCAGGCAGACATGTCTTGGCGGTCTATCCTGGAACTACAGCTTTGTACAAGGCAACTGTGGTCAATTCTCACCGCAAGGTAAATAATCCAGTAGTTTCCCTGTTAGCAAGGACTGTTATATTGATTGGCATGTGTCAGCTTGGTTGGAAACTAATGAAAAGAATTGGCATGACACTAACCCATGCAAAAGGTGCTAATGTATTTGTAGGCCTTTTTCATGGCCTATGCTGGTTGGCACAAAGGCATGCTGACTGGCACAGTATCGGATTGTACCATGTCAGAAAGGTATCAGCATGCCTTCATGCAGTAAAGCAATCTTTGCCATTACCACTCTATTTTATAGTTATTTAATCAAAGAAGTCCATTAATTTGACAGTGAGAGCTACCTCTTCAGATATTTTCATCATAAATTTCACTAGCATCTGTCTGGACCATTTGCCATACCTGGTGTTCCGCATACGTAAATAAAATATGCCTGTTAGATGGTTGGGGAGTGTGTGTGTGTGTGTATGAATATATATACTCCTTTCTAAATTTGTCACCTTCAACATGAACAGTAAAAACATGAACAACAATTAGGCAGCAGAGAGGGTTCATTTGATTGCTGATCCTAATATATATAAACATACAATTTTATTTTCCCATGAAACTATATTCATCCTCATATTGAGAAAATAAGTCTTTTTTTTATTGCTGTCTTATCCTCACTAACAAGTAATTCATAATCCATTTCCATTAGATATTTATTTCTTATAAAACAAAAATGCTTCAACAAAACTAAATGGTGTAAGTTTTCAGTAATAAGGATGGTGCAACATATGGAGACTACTGACCTAATAATTTGGTATTATGGCTGAAAGAAGAAAGAAGATGCACTTACATCCAGTTATAAATTCCAGGGATTAAAGGCAAACTAAATTATGTCTTTTATGGTAACAATGATTTTTCTTACACAGCACTTTGTTTCTTGGCATGGATTGGAACAAGTTTTACTATGTTATAAGTGTGTTATAAGTAAAGTATGCTTCCTAGTGTCTTCTAATGAAAATACTCAGAAAATTAACAATACATATTTCCTGATAGATGAGCAGAAATTTTTGCTCAATCTTCAGTTAGCTATTAGATGTTATTTCCATCTGTTGTATAACACCATAACATGTTCAGCGCTTGTTCATTTCATATTTAATTTAAGATGTTTATGGGCAAGATATTATTCTCTAAATTTCCCAAAATTTATGATATTTGCTGCAACATACTGACTATAACTTATCTTTTCTATTATGGTTTCCCTTCTGGCTTGGAACTTCCAGAGAAAATCTGATGAGTAAGTCAGCTATCCTGTAGTGTCATTCCCTTTCTCATACAGATATCTGCAGTTGTTATTTGCTTTAACCTGCGTGATTTGCTAGTTTATATAACATATGTAACATTGGGCAGGAAAAATAAGATTCAAAAAATCAACTCATGGTCATGCATCTTGTGAGTAATATCACTTAGTTACCAATATGCGGATACTTACAGTAATATAACATTTCAAGTGGTTATCACCTTTCCAATTACTCCGTTATGATTGCCAAATTGCAGCTGCACATTTTTTATTTTTTCTATTTACGTCTAACAAGAATTTGGTGATTTTACCCTAAACAGAAACCAATGGCTGAAAAGAATCCATGTGGCCCGTCCCTAAGTGCCTGTCATTGTATCTTTTACAGTGTGGTTCAACTTCAAACAATTACGTTCCAGTGTCTACGTTCTACTTACTGTTGGATCTTTCATTATATTGTTTGTTGTTCAATCTGGCATTCGCTCATCCTCCTATCTTGTGGATCAGCAGTAGTTGTTAAGAGCACAACATATGCCACAGGAGCCCTCTCTTTTAAAAAATGACACAGTATAGTTGCTCTAAATTGATCAAGGCCACTTGCAACTTTTAAACTCTGCATTGGTTTAGGACTTCTGATAACTTCAAAACTTAAGGATGTTGACTGGTGTTTGATTTCTTGTTTTTGCTAGTTACCTTCTCGAGTTCGATGATGACGAAGAAGATGGGTCCTTACCACAAAGAAACGTACACTTCTACAAAGTTGTTCCACTTCCAGATGGACATCGGCAATGAAACTAGATTGAGCAGTTATTTCTTAGTCTATAAACCTAGTACTAAGACACAACCTTCCTTCTGAGGCTCTTGGTAGTGCAGTTGTGATGGTAGTGTAACATAGTATATATATGCTTGATCTTGATGCTTATCAAATACATTCACATGTATATCATAATTGTTATTACGGCCTTTTACGATCATCAAGATGGACTGTGCTAAATTGTTGTAGAATGGTGTAATTTGTTTATGACAGTGAGAAATTTGTGAATATATATTGAGTACTTGGTATAAATGATATTTCTGTGGCGCCATGATGGTATTAATATGGAGATAATGTCATCACTTTATTTTTGAAGGTCCTTGAATTCTTTGGGATCAAAGAACTTAGTATCCATATTACACCATTGTTACTTTGATCTTTGTGCTTCGTATTGACATTGTATTCATCTTCCTCGAATTATTCATCTGAATTAACCTTAAGGCCTTAGTCAGATTATAGTGTTTTTGAATTGACTTGTTTATATTTTTTATTATTATGATTTTAATGTTTCAAAAAATGATTTTTATAAGTGTTTGAACGATTATAAATGGAAATTAGGAAGGTTTTGATGTAACTTATTGTGCTTTTGGTAACAATAACCATACCACCAATATCACACTTCTTTGAATGATATATTATATATGCATTAATTTGTGGTGAAAGAATGGAAACTACGAAGAGTGAGTGTTACGGTGTCGATACATTCATTTATTTGCAGGTTTTAGGGTTATATCTGGAGACACCCTAACAACTATAACGGTCATCATATCAGCGTTACGGCGATTAACCGATATGTCATAACGTTGACCGCTGACCGTTATTATATGGTGCGACTATTTCGTCGCCGTCAGATATCTGCCCACAGAACCCTTCACATTATAACGCAAATATTTAACACATATACAATCTCTCTGTGCATCGGTTGGTTCCTCTTCTTGAAACCCTAACGTCTCGGATCGGATAACCAAGATCCCTCACAATGGCGAGGCGAACCCCGCCGCTTCTCCGCCACCTCCTCCGTGGTGCCACTGACGGCGGAGCATCGCGGCCGCCGCTAGCCCATGCCGAGCCCCGGCGGTCCGTCACCTACATGCCCCGCCCCGGCGACGGCGCTCCGAGGCGCGTGACCTTGATCCCCGGCGACGGGATCGGGCCTCTCGTTACCGGCGCCGTGCAGCAGGTGATGGAGGCGATGCACGCGCCGATCTTGTTCGAGACGTACGAGGTCCACGGCGACATGACCGCGGTGCCGGCGGAGGTGATCGAGTCGATCCGGAGGAACAAGGTCTGTCTCAAGGGTGGCCTCAGGACGCCGTTGGGCGGAGGGGTTAGCTCCCTCAACATGCAGCTGAGGAAGGAGCTCGATCTCTACGCGTCGCTCGTCCATTGCTTCAACCTCCAGGGGTTGCCGACCAGGCATGAGAAAGTGGATATTGTGGTTATCAGGGAGAATACCGAGGGGGAGTACTCCGGTCTGGAGCACGAGGTCGTTCCTGGTGTCGTAGAGAGTCTCAAGGTACGTGGCTTTCCATCCTGCCAAGCTTTGGGTTTTAACTTTAATTGCGTTAGGTCTTTTGCGAATTTTTTAGATCTTCTGCCAACGATTAGAAATTCAAGATACATCTGGACTTGGAAAAGGTAAAATACCAAAGTCTTACAAGTATAATGTTAGGGGCTCATCTGATTTCATGATCAGAGTCCCCTTCTTCGAATCCTTTTTCATGGTCTGTCTAATTCAAGTACAAGAAATAGAATTGGAATAGACAAAATTCAAGACTCGCCACTGGTATGAAGTTATATTCATGTTTGTTTGCCTAAGAATCTCTTATTGTTGTGAAGTGTTTGGTCACAATTGATAAGAGAATGTGATTACCTGAAGAAATAAGGAAAATGACATTGATCTTCATAAAAGTAATTATTAGGTAATGACAAAGTGGAGGTGGTGGTCCTGGGGATGATGGCACGTAGGTGGCCAAGTGGGAGGAGCCAGAGTTGATGGAAAAGTTTACAATATGGTGGAGGTGAAGGATGAGGAGGTGAAGACTAGAGCTTGTCGGATTGTGGTGTGGCGATTGAGCAAAATGTGTGAACATGAAGTTGTTTCCTTTCATGCTCTTTATGCATGCTATAATTTTGTTTAATGAGTTGACATGGATGACCATAAACATTTTCAGCATACTCTTATGGCTGATTTTCTATCTGGTATATGACAATCAACCTAGCACACTCATGGCAGATTCCCAAAATAGTATATGGTGCTGATTTTAGTGATAAGATACTGATTTTATTTTCTGTAGTCATACTTTAAGTGACCTAGATATGGAATTAGTTGCTTGATGTTTAAATCAGTTTTAAATAATTTTTGGATGGGCTGGAAGTACGGAACATCATATGGTCAAGTGATAAATATATGATCAAGTCCTTGTTCTCAGCATGTGTCACGTGAGAAAGTAAAAAATATATGAACACCAGCCTTTACTTGTGCTCTGTCTCCCACTTTGTTATCTTCTTTTCTACAATTATTTGTAAAATATTAATATATTATGATTTCCTTGTTAACCATCTCTGCTATATATATTCCATCAACTTGCTACTTTCTGTAACCAATAAACAGAAACTTTTTGCTTTGAAATTTTGTTCCAACAACAAGTTTATAGGCAGACCCTAAACTCCCTATTGCACCTGGGACTGCATTAGTCTGCTATCAGATCTGTTGATCCCACAATGTTGTACTGCATCAACAATTGATTCAAAAAATTAAAAGATGGATCATTATGATAATAGTTGGACAAGAAAAGTGATAAAATTGTAGAGATTCTGGGAGAGCTTTTTGCAATTTGCATGGTATTAGAGACATGAAGATTGAAAGGCTGTTTTACAGTGACCAGATCAAGTCAATATCAGATCTGCTACGCTGAGAGATCATGCCATGTGAATAATCCAGGAGTAGATTGAAGAAAGTGTAGTAACTTGTTGATCAACTAAACATCAAAAAGCCAAAAAAGAGGCAGCAACAAATACAACATATTTGTTGATCCTTACACTGATAATAAGTGCAAAAAGAAGATTAAACTAATATTGATAGCAATTGACGTCAAAGTGAAAGAAGAGACCAAAACTTGACAAATTGTGTCCAGAAAATGACTTTTATTTGTTTCATGAGATAAAGATGCAATGGACCTTGTTAGAATCTTAAACATGGAGAGTTTTGAGTGCATAATTGTTGCAGGCAGCAAGTTGATGCAATTTAAAATTAATTAGGTTTAGGTTGGACCAAAGTTCTTGTTTGATTTTATTAAGTCCAGAGCCCTTTTTCTCCCTTTTTTTTTGGATAGTTTTGAGAATTTTTAATTTTTTTCTTTACAGCCAAAATGGATCTATGCATGCGTTTTTAACTTATTTTGAGTTTCTGTAGGAACCTGATTCACAAAGGAGTACTCAGTTGATAATCTCTCTTGGATCTGTTACAAAGAGCCTAAACATGTCTGCAAATCTTTGTAACAGCTATATTTTCAGATATAAGAATTAAAAATCCATTTGATAGATTCCAATCTTATTATGGAAACACAGTAAATAGAGCTGTTGGACTTTTATTGTTGGTAACACCTTCATATTCATTTAATCAATTCCAATCTTACTTGTTTATGAAGATTTTATTATGCCTTAAATCAGCTTAATTTGTCCCAACATAATGTTTATGTGATGATCCCTCTGTATGTTTGCTAACATGACAAAACCCAGACTTCCACCATAAGATAGATTGCTGAACAAAGATTTGAATGCTGTTGTTTGTCAGGTTAGTTGACTCTTTCTGCAGGATCTTTAGGCTGTATGTACAAAGGAAAACTTCTTTGCTCTCACGTTCCATGAAAAATGCTGGCAATAATTTGCATATATGGAATAAAAATCTTGTACCATTAATGTAGAGATGGTGCCTTGGTGATAGACTGGTCAAAGCTGTATCCTGTATGGTTGCACCTGTTGACCAAACTGGGCAGTCCATCTCATGCTGGTGAGCACTCTTAGGACAGCCGTAAGATTCATGAAAGACTGTCTTCTGTTTTGCTAGCTTCATTCCTTTCATTTTATATTCTGTAGTTATGCTTTATTATTTGATTGCTTTGTTTGCTCTAGTTTTTTTTTATGGTGTCTTTGCTTTGTACTACATCTGAAGTTATGGTTCCTACATACGCTAGTTTTGAACTCTTGGCTTTATTTATGGAGTCAGATCATTCTTCTATTTATCTGATATGGTCAGATGCCTTTTGTTGTTTAACTCTAAGAGAGCCACATAGCAAAGTTATTCTTCAATTAGAGATTTTTGTATACTGTTATTCTTGACTGAATACATCTTCTGCTATTTATTTGTGCAACTCTTTCTTGCTCTCTTCCTTATTCCTTATCCTCTCAACATCTTTGCTAGGTGATCACGAAGTTCTGCTCTGAGCGAATTGCTAAGTATGCTTTTGAGTATGCTTACCTTAACAACAGAAAGAAAGTCACAGCAGTGCACAAGGCCAACATTATGAAGCTTGCAGACGGTCTGTTCTTGGAATCATGTCGTGAGGTTGCAACAAAATATCCAGGGATAAAGTATAATGAGATCATTGTTGATAACTGCTGTATGCAACTTGTTTCAAAGCCTGAGCAGTTTGATGTTATGGTATGCCACTTCATTTTTTATTTACTTTTCAAGTGCAGCATTCTTTTTCTTTATGTTTTTTACTCTTTACAATTCTAATTACGTTGCTTATTCCAGTTTTGTGGTGTTTTCAAGTTCCATGCTCCAGTAGTAATTGGAATTTAAGCATGATTATTTTTAGTTCTATTCTTTAGTCGAAATTTTATGTTGAGAGAGCCTTTAAGTTAACTGTAGTTTTGGTAAGTGTTGATACAATAATTACACAAGTATTATTAGAATACTAGGACACAACATGGCATGGACACATCCATTGGCTGATGTAAATTCTTCCGACATACTGCTATAAGCTGATGAATGGATTATTTTGTGCAATTTCGACAACTTATGATCATAATAATATATGATCTATAAAAGGAAGCTATGGCTCATTCCAAAAGAATTACCAACAAAAATAGATACAAAATGATAAGGAGCTTATTCATTTCCATCACAAGACTGATTGATTTAAAAAGTTGAAAGTACATTAGCCATATGAAAGCCTTCCATTGATCATCTACCAATTTCTTGTATATGTATCATACGTTAGCCAATCCAGTAGTAAGTGTATGCTACTTTTACAGTGCTTCATGTAATCCATTAGCATATCAGTCATTTCATGCTAAAATGTGAATGCTTTAATTATCGGTTGAGGTGTGGGATCATCTAATTTAAGAGTATCATATAATTAATTTACTAAATGTGAAAAACTTGTATATCATGATTAAGATTTAAAATGAGTTGTACTTTTTCAAACACATTTAAGGTTACCCTTATATGAAATATCAGCACCATATTGAACTGGATTATCCATTTGCAGGTCACACCAAATCTTTATGGCAATCTGGTGGCAAACACAGCTGCAGGCATTGCTGGAGGCACTGGTGTCATGCCTGGAGGTTTGTTGATGATCCTTTAATGTCTAATGTGAAATTTGATTTTGCCCCCTTAATTCTCTGTTATGCAAAGTATTTTGAAAAAATTAGGAACAAATTTCCATTACAAAACGCTTACCCATGGAATTCGGCCCATCAATTGTGCAATGCACTCTAACCACTGGGATGTTTCAACAGAGACCTGTCATGCAAAGTAGTTGAAGTTCCATAATGGTCTTTTGCTCTTCTTACTGATGGACAGGACCCTCAGTGATCTAAGCTATCAACCTTTGTGGTTTGATTAATTCACAGATATTGAATATTATAGGTGCCAAGAACTTGGCATCAGAACCACCACTCTTGGGGTACCAACTGCTGCAGTCTGCAATTCTTAGCTTACATATGCTTATTCATGTCTTTTTTGTCTTATGTAATGGTGTGTCATACTTGCTTTGCCTAATCAGGCCACTCAAAATGGTTTGATGAGGCATGGAATTGTCACAGGCACTCCATCTATCTCATGCATTACCAGCATATAATAGTTGGTCCAGGCACCTTTGTAGATTCTACCAACCATTACATTAGCATCGTCACAAGTAAACTTGGTTTGTGATGGTCAGTCCTGCAATTTTTCTTAACGTTATGATATCGACTTATGAGATCATCCTTCTTTCCTTTTCTGGGATTTCAGGGAATGTTGGTCAGGATCATGCAGTGTTTGAGCAAGGTGCTTCGGCAGGCAACGTAGGTAATGAGAAAATAATGGAGCAGAGGAAGGCGAATCCGGTCGCGCTGCTTCTATCATCTGCTATGATGCTTCGGCATCTGCGGTTCCCGTCGTTTGCCGATCGACTAGAGACCGCTGTGAAACGTGTTATCGCCGAAGGCAAGTACAGGACTAAAGACCTGGGAGGTAGCAGCACAACTCAAGAAGTTGTCGATGCTGTCGTCGCAAAGCTGGACTAGGTGCCAGCTGGTTCTCATGGTAGTAATTTGTCATCTATTTGTTCTCATTTCCCTTATGCCCATATCATAATTCTTGAAGATTCCCACATGGAATCTGATGAACCTTAGCTTCGTGCAATAATTGCTGGATCTGTCCCACAATAAACCCATTCATTTGCATAAAGAAAATTGAGAGAGGTTAATTATTGTGTGTTCCTTATAGCAGCTCAAAGAGCCCTCTCTTTGCACGCCATTCTCAAAGGAGTATGTGGAACTGAGAACTTCCCTTCTGCTATTTGATCGAACACCCATCTGTTTGCCGCCTCCGTGTAGTGAACTCCATCCCAAATGATCCTCTTCGATGGATCCTTGCATGATTTCCCAATCACAACCTCGGTACCGTTCACCGTGATCGTCGACCCGCAGCCATTATTCGCGTTGTAGTTGTACTTGCCGCCATGGCCGCAGCAAGCAACAAGCGGCAGCTCAAACCCTGCAAGTTCCCAAGTCAGTAGCATGCACCGCCCACCCGATCGAGCTCTGCTGCGTTCTTCTTACCGTGCTTGGTCGCGTGGCTTATGAGCTCATACTTGACGGAGTAGACATCTACGAAGGTGAAGACGGCAAGCGGGAGATCCTCCCGCAGCTGGGCGACGGCCTCCTCGAGCTTCGTGTTGAAGAGCTGCGCGACCTCGTTGAAGGGCGACCCGCAGCCGAATCGATCGACCTCGGGTGCCCTAAGGAGGAGGCGGTCCAAAACGTAAGCGAGACAACCGAAAGGTCCCGTGTTGTGCACCCAGAAGAACCTTCCTCCCCCCCAGTAGATACTCTGCAACAAGAGCTCATCAATGGTGATCATAGATAGAGAGCAACATCGAAGTGTACTTCTCCGACTACCTTTACAGCCATGCTGAACTTGTCGACGATATCTGGGATGGATGCCTTGACCTCTTCCGATGTCATGTTGCTGAAGTAGCCTGCTGTGAGATCGTTTTGCCCAATGTCGAAGGTGTACAGAGCTCGAGAGAAGTATTCCTTCTTGGGCAGTTGATCCTTGAACAGTCCTTGATCGAGAAATGACTGAGACCGAGACTTGAACTGAGAGAACTGCCAGGTCTGCACGTCCAAGGAGAAAGGGCTGAAGCCAGATTGGAACAAGGTCGTGTTCTGTGGCCTTATCGTCGACCCCGCCGTCGCAAAGTTTGCTCCGTGGGAGAAGTTGGTCCCGATCGAATCGAGATACGCGTTGAGACGAGGAAGCCCCAAGCTGTTTGCTGAAATGCCAAGCAAGAAGAAACCGGTACGTACTCGTCCATTGGCAAGACTCGACAGGGCGAAAAGACTAAGGGATACGAACCGATGAAGTCGATGATGACGCGGCCATCGCAGTACCTCCCCGCCGGCTTCCGGAAGAACGTCTCTCCGTTGGGCGGCGGGGCCTGGCCGAAGGCGGCGGACAGCCCTCCGGTGTCGGAGTTAGAGTCGCCGAAGTTGAAGATGGCCGGGAAGGCGCAAGGAGCAGATGCCGCTGCGAGCTGGAGCAGCAGCGAGCTGATGAAGATTGACGCGATGGGAGGTAGCACCTGAGGAAAAGCCATGGCGCACAAACACACACGGTGCAGGTAAGGCAGAAAGAGATGAACACCATAATATAGATGGGCAAGTCGATATCCATGCATACGTAATCCATAGGATAAAACTACCACAACATAATCTTGCGGAGCAGATAAGGGAAAATGAAACCAATCTCTTCCATTTGTTTACCTATGACACAGTTGATAGAGAGAGAAAATATAGATGGATTACTAGATAAGATCTTATCGAATCCGTAAATAGAAATGAAAATAAAAATCCAATCTTTCTCCATTTGCCATGTTTGTGATCACAAGTCTGATCTTTTTATTTATGAGAACTTGTTTGCTTGTTGAATGAAGAAGATTCGGATCATGTGTGTCGTCATTTTCTTCTTTTCTCCTTGGATATTGTGGAAAGAAGATTCGTTCATTCCTTTCCGAGATATAAATCCAACAAAAGCCATAAAGGATCAAATGGTTGATAAGAAGTGTGATGAAAGAGCTTTCGGTCCACACTTCTTTTCATCTACTTCTATACTTTTTTTTCTCTTTCGAGAGGAATCAATCCATGACATGATGCGATGGTCTTCTTGTTCTGATTTCTTTTCTAAGAGAAATATTTTACATGACATGATGTGATGGTCTTCTTGTTCTATCTAAGAGAAATGTTTTACTAGTAATGTCTGTTAAAAATAAATTGCTTCCTGCATGGCATTTTCTTGGATATGAAAGAAAAATTATAGCTGCTTTCTCTATCATCTCTTAATATATGTTTGTACCATTTCAGAACTTAGCACCACCATGTCTCTGTTCATCCTTGTGTTATTTATTGCTCAAGATGCCATCACACATCCTCTAGGCCTGGAATCATGTTGTTGCTTCAAGTGACAATGACCTTTCCACATCCATGTCAATGGAATCATGTCCATGAAATGCTCACTTGAACTCATGGTGATGACAACAAGAAGTTTGATTGAACAATGGAGACCCGCAAGCTAGTAAAACAATAGAACAGCATTCACGGTTTGATGATCATGCCATATATATATAGCTGAAATTAATTACCAGAAGAAATCTGCAGCTGGAATTTCATTCTAAATTCAACTACCAGTGAAAAGAAACTTGTACTGTTCCACACTCAACATGAGAATTTATGTTACTGATTAGTCTGAAGAACTCTGACTACTAGGAAAAGATGCTTCATGATAAATTGGGCAGACTACACTTTGGAGAACTGGAATTGATCTGTGCAGTCTAGGACAAACAGGGCGCATCCATGTCGCGTGACTGCCATCGATATCTGATTTACTTGACCAAACTTATGACCACTCCACACTTCAGTGCACTTACATGTAGCATTGCCTAGGAACTCGCCACCGAGAACCTTTCCGATGTCGGAAATCTTTGCAGAAATTACTGTTGTTTGAGAATTGAGGTTGAAGAAAGAGAGGTAAATCTCTCCTGCAAAAGTAAGAGGAATGATATCAGCAAGATAAGCAGCACTCAAATTAATGGAATATATTTTGATCGCAAATTACAAGTTTAAAGGATCTAATAATTTGCAGGCTCTGAATGTAATCCATAGACTAGCATGCTAGCTAACACAAAATGGTTAACGGACTACAGAATACGATATCAGAGCAACACTTTCTAACGCAATACCAAATGCAGGAAATTTCTTCCACTTGGTCGGAAAGTGAGCATCAAGGAAAAAATCTCATTATAAAGAGGAAGTTCTTTTAGAACATATTAAAATTGCTACTACCTTTTCTTCCAGTTCCAATCCATGAGCGAATTCCTTCTGTAGAATTAACTGCATCAGATATCTAGTTAGCTTCTATCTCCTTTAGAACATATTGTAACATAGATGTAAACATCCCTATAAGTACCTGCTTCAGAAACCATTGTTGCACACAAAGCAGAGTAGCTGTTTACAAGAGTTCCACTATCATTTAACCTCCACATCTGCAGATTGTGGTATAACTTAGTTAAGAAAAAGGAAGTAAAAGAATTCACTGGACATTAAACCTTCAAAGTGAAATTTAAAGGAATTGGCTCATGGTGAATAATTTTTCTGATAAATATTTGTAACAAGAAAAAAAAGTGGAGAGCAGAAATGTTTCTGTTAGACATAAAGTAAATCCATAGATATTAATATATGGGAGGCAATTTAGCGTAGATGAAATACCAAAGCTGGTAGTGTAGACCTTGAAAGGAGGAAGGTTGGAATGCTACCAGATGTATGTCTATTCTCTAATTCACCCAACCCGATCCCCCAACCCAATCCATTTTTGGAATGTCCAGTACCAAAGTCACCAATGAGTTGGTCATATTTTCAAATTATGGAAAACTCTTTTTCTTTACCCTTTTCCATTATTATTGTTTAGTGTTGTATTCATCAGTCTTTGCGCAAAGTATATTAACCTTTGTTTGGTTTTATTCACCATTAACATTGTCTTAGAATGCATGATATTTGTATTTTATCCCATTTATAGAGCCTAGAGCCTATGATTGCACATAATGGGGGTACCAGAGGTCAAATATAAAATTAAGGCTATTCCTACAGCTTAAGATTTTAGCATAAATTTGTGAATCAACCAACCATCTTTTTATCAGTATTAAGATATTTAAAATTTTAAACCATGAATCACTAGCAAAATAAAAGAAGAAAAAAACTATTTTTATATCATCCATTGTCATATTGTTGGAGAGTATATAGCAAAAGAAAAACACAGGACCTTATATAAAACAGATTCATTAAATAATTATATCATGTTTGTCATTTTGTTCTCAATCTCTTCATCTAGGCATAGAACAAATGATTTCAACACAAGTTACTCCTCCATGTCTATAATTGTTTTCTGATGCTTGTAGTGTTAAATAACCATACATCAAACAATGAAAGGAAACACTATACTATTTTCTGTCTATTAAAAATAATAAAGGCCAAGATTCATCAATTCAAAATGCAGTTGGCAATAAACCTGTGAATCATGCCACTTGCAACCAGATAAAGTGATTCTTCTTTTTCTCTGTTGCAATGTGTTCTCTACAGATGCCTCCAGGCAGGCACTTTGGTTTTGCATTGCCAGTAGCTGAAACATTCCTACATATTCCTGTTTATATTTAATCCCTTGATCCCTGTGGAAAAACAAATATTACATTTGAAACAACTTATATCATATAGTTTTTAACTATTTCTAAGTCTAGAAAAACTTACGGTATCAGATGAGGCATTCTTTTGTACAGGCAGTAAGATGGGTTCTGATTTTTACTGTCACCTTTCCGACATATCTGAATACTATCCATCTCAAACCACCCTTTTGCTCTTTCAGTCTTACAGCTAGTAAGACCTAATACCTTGTTATCAGGTCCATCGACAAGTTCTTGACTCATTGATCTCTTGTTAAGAGCATGATTTCTACTTTTGAGATCTTCCGTGGCAAAGACAAAGGGAAACTGGATTCAATTGATATCAGGATGTGAATCAGTAACTTAACAGGGATAGAGGATGATCAGGATCTCTCCCTGTGAAAAACAGTAGAAGCCTACAAGTTATATTAGGTAAAGTACCTCCTTATTGTTTGTGCTGAAAGAGTTTATCTCAAGAAGAGTAGGATGAGTGATGAGACTTAATGTAATCTCATCAATGTTTCTTAAATCTCCTCCAAACATGAGAGGGGATTTGACCATAGACCAAAGAGTGACCTGCATGACAAAATTTCTGTAGTTTCAGTATACCCTTGATAATCTGAACAGCAAAAAGCAGCAAAGAACAGCTTGTGGTTTATGTTCCTGGGTTCTTTGTTCATCAACAGTAAGATTTGATTTCCTGTGAGGACCTTGGCGTACACCTGTTTTCCACAAATCCATTTCCTTTAGCTGTATAATATACAATGAAATATGAATTATAGAAAAATGACAAAAAGAAATCTGAAAATATCATATCAGATATACTAAATCACACATTTAATCCTAGGTGAGGTTTAACACTAGAAACATAATTGCTAAAGAATGAGCATATCTTCTACTTCACAGTTTGAAGGAACTAATACAAAATTTTCATACATTTAATTTTTTTCCCCATCTAACATAAATCCCAATTATTGTGTCAACTTAAGCATGCTCAGGTTCGTAAATGATGCACCACATTTGCTAAATATTCTTGTGCTAGAAAATTCTTTAAAGTTATCCAAACTGTCATAATCCTAAACATTAAGATTTTCTTCAATATCCCATGTTATATTTAGTTGCACAAAGCTAGAACTTGTAATAAATTAAGGATGTCATATCCACAGATCCAAGCGTTGAACTATTAGAGAAGTTTATATACCTAGCAAGTTTTGTGTAAATGCATGCATTTTAATATGCACATCCCAGATACCATGATGCATGCCACAAAAGCGTGCATGATATCATGTGCACATTATGCACATGGATTGCAACCTAATGATGATCAAGATTATATGCAAGTAAAATTCAGAGAGGGGTTTTCTGCTGTAAAGCTAATTAATATCTTTTGCAAACATTACTATTAATGTTTGTGACTGTTCATACTATTCCAGTGTTGTTCCTGTGTGCAGTATAGACAACTACTTGAATCCTCGACCGAAACTATATGACAACATATCAGGTTTCAGCAGAATGGATCTTTTAAAGTTGAGAAGATGGCATTACCGGGATCAGTAAGCCACCCAAGCGGTAGCATATCCAAGTCAGGCCAGGACCTTCCATGTAATCCCTTGGCACCAATCAAATTGGCAGAAGAAAAATCCCTGGATGGTATCGACAAAGTTATTTTGCCAATAGTAGTTGAGAGAAACTCGGTGCAATCAGTAAGAGCACCAACCAGGGAGAATGCTACCTCGATATATCGAAATGAGATGCAACATCTGTCCATTTATCCCAATCATCTGCTGTTATTCTGTACATATCCACATAAGCACTGATGCTGCCAGCCATCGAGGGAGTCACATTCGTACCAGGAGAGATTGAGAACAGCACTGGTTGGTCGAGCTCTCGTAGAAGCTGCAGAAAGAACAGTTTAGCCAAGGTCAGAACAAGAATCCTTTACCTTCCAGTAGCAGATCATCACATTACAATTCCACTCTACAATACAGATTTTATGATACCTCGGACACTGTGATAATCTCTTTTGAGTCTAAATCATCTCCAAAAACACAGTCAAGTTTCACTGCAGTCACAATGCAGCATTATTTCTGAATGGAAAAGAGAATAAAATGTTCAGACCATATTATATATAATTCTGTGTTCCTCACAGTATGATAAATCAAATCAGGATTCTATCTGGTGCATATCTCATAATGTAAACATGAGTAGCAAAGGAAAAAAACAGGGAAATAGTAGATGCAACCAGTCTTGTTAAATTACCAAAATCGACACCCCATTCGGCATACTGTTGATACAAAGATCTCAAGAAAGCTCTTCCGGCTCCAATATCGGTATCAACACTCATAAATCCATGTTGCATCCAAGCACAAGCCCTCTGTGTCATTCCTATATCTTTCGCGGTCCATGTTCGATTACCCTCACGATACACAGAGTTCTACCGAAAAAAAAAAAATCTGCTACATCAATTAGCAACTGTTTACAAGAATGATTCTAGGGTTTCAGAATTCTCATAGCTACTCTGCTACTGAGATAAGTTGTCGCAAATCTATGATCCAGTTCTTCAATTCAGTCAATCGTGGTCTCTACACTTCCAATTTTATAGAATACAAGAGAGATTAATCTAGCATGAACAATGCGCAATCTGAGAGGAAGAAGAATACCGATCGAACATCCAAGACGGGAGTGCTTGCATCAACTGCCTGCTTACTTATTCCTCTCATCACATGAATCCCAAACATCAACCCCATTTCATGAACCTTTCGGGCGACCTCTGTGAACCCCTGCCCGCCTTTAGATGACGGCCACCGACCAGGGTCGGGGAACGGCCGGCCCCATGGATCGATGCAGTCGTAGCCATAGGAATCTTCCGAGGCTCCATCCACGTTCTTCCGATACCACAGGAAGTCCACGACAACATACTACGCCATTGCAAAGGCAAAGAAAGAAGAAAGATCACTACTTGCTTTCTCACAATTCATCCTGCAGTTGAATGCCACAAATCCGACCTCGTATCCGTATCGATGCAGATTCTTAGCCAGAATAGCAGCATTATCTAGGAACGCTTGTTCGTCGACGACCCACGAAAAGGAGTCATAGGAATTCCACCCTCTCGGTGGCGAGCTCGTGAGCTCCGATGATGACCCGCGAACTCCATACGATTCTCTGGAAGATTTGATGTTACATGGAAGTATGAAGATTTCGAGTTATCCTACGGACTCGAATGCAAAGAGGAAAACGAGAAGAACCTGCAGAAGAAGAGGATACAGAGGAGCAGAAGCAAAGCAGATGCCCCCATTGATGATAAAGCAATTGCAATTGTGAGAAGCCCTCTACTAAATATGGGAAATTACTAAAATAATCTTTATATTTTTAAAGACGTAGCATATGTCTTTTAGTTTAAATTAATAACATATATAATCTAGAATTAAGATATATTTTAATCTCTATGATTTTGAATATGGACCTCTTAAACTCTTATGATTTACTCATATTTAAAATAATTCTTATATTTTTAAAAATATAATATATAAATTTTCCATCAAATTTAAGTTAACAAATATTAGTCTAAGTAATAATAAATTATTAATACAATAATACATATAATTTAAATTAAAAAAAACTAAAACTTTTATTAATAATAGGAGGAGGTGTTATTCTAGAAGCGACCATCATGCTATTAAAACTTTTATTAATGATAGGATGAGGTGTTGTCCTAGAAACGACCACCAACAATAGACACCACCAATAGTAGAACCGCCACTACTTAGCAATGTGTAATATGAATGCAACATCTCCTACACTAACGATAAGATTAAGAGCTTCGAGATGTCACTCGTTCGCTTCATAGTGCATAGTGCATGTCATCACTTCATAGTGCATAGTGCTATGAATGCGACATCTCCCACACTAACGACGAGATTAAGAGCTTCGAGATGTCACTCGTTAGCTTCATAGTGCATAGTGCATGCCATCACTTCATAGTGCATAGTGCTATGAATGCAACATCTCCCACACTAACGACGAGATTAAGAGCTTTGAGATGTCACTCTTTAGCTTCATAGTGCATAGTGCATGCCATCACGTCTCCCACCATGACACATGACGGCTGCATCAAGGATGATGATGATTAGCATTTAAGTTTTTGATTCGGAAAGAAAAGTGAGTTGACTAACTAAGTAAATTTAGTCATCTCCAAGCAAAGGAATCTATTAGAAATAATAATTTAGTCAACCAAGTAAATTTCAAAAGGTATTAACGAACTTAATAAAATATCTTTTCAAATCATCCCAAGATATTAGTATTTCATCCCAACTTCTAGAAAGTTCTAGACTAACGTTTCGTATTATTATCGCAATCATCATAGCATATAAAAACGACTCAAAAACTATCCAAAATAAATTATTTTGTATCATGCAAGCAAGCAACGAACAACGAGTCAATTACAAGATAACACCTTCCCTGATACCTAATAGCCCGATCCAATCCTGTGTCACAAAAGGTTCCAAGGTGCTAAGATGACTAATGCTTCACACCATCAGATACAACCACTTCACATCAAATCTGATACATCAACTCTAACTTGAATCAAATATGATCGTGACCCAATGGACCATCTTCAATGGGTTTTGAATCAAGCTTAAATTGTAATCAAAATTTAACAAATACTTATCTTGCATTATATATATATATATATATATATATATATATATATATATATATATATATATATATATATATATATATATATATGTGTGTGTGTGTGTGTGTGTGTGTGTATACAATACATATATACAATACATATATATATACATACATATGTATATATATATATATATACTTATCTTGCATTCACAAAACCTGTTCAAAATTCATCTAATTTCAGTGTTCAGTGACTGAGAAATGAAGAAAGAGCTGCTGGTGAGAACAAGAACCGGATATTGTTTATGTGATAGATAGCAAGACATGGCTCACAAGAAACAGATCTTGTTAAGGTGATCAATAGCAAGACATGTTGCATATAAGAAATGCCAACCCCTCAGTCTAACAAAACTCAGCTAACTGATTTGACAGTGTCGCGTGAAAAGATGGAACTTCTCAATGAGACCTCCATTCTTGAAGTAAAGGGCCAAGTCTTTGAGCACCAAGAAACAAGGCATCTGCTAGAAGAATGAGTCCGAGCTGCAATATCAGACAAAGCATGAAAAGATATTCCCTAGCACTGGTTCACGTTAAGTTTTATTTTTTTATAATTATTTAAAAACTTCTTCTTAAATCAAAAGCCATTACCAAACGACCAGTGAAGACCAACCGGTAACTCCAACCTTCCCTAGCACCTATGGCACGCTGTTGATCCGTCCAACTGAAAACAGATAGTAAATAATGGAGAAATCAAGATAAACATATATAATAATGTAGAGAGCAAGAAACATTGAAACTAGCATTTGTTTTTTTCATTATCACATGATGAGAGAGTCTCGGAAACCTAGTTGTCATGTGCTAACATAGGCATGGCAACATAGTAAACCAAGGAAGAAACTAATTATTTACCATTGAATATGAAATATTACCCGAGAAATTCTGAAACGCCACCAATTCCAGCAAGCTTGAAAGGCTGGGGACCTTCTCGTGGAAAATCCTGAACCAGAAGACGTAACATACTATTTGGTCAATTTATTGGACACAAAATAAAATTCAGTTCATACATGATCTGTGCATGCCATACACCACAAGCACATAACACTAATCCACAAGCATTCACAATGCTCTCATACAGCATAAACATGCATCGGGTGGTCAGATAAGCACACTGAAATTACATTTCATTCTTGCACAAATGAAACAGAGAGTTCATACAAATTATGGACAAAATACAATTACTCGCTAAACTTTCACATGTTACCTCTTCATCAGCAGCTTCCAGACCTCCTTGTACCCAGAATAAGTTTCTGAAACCTGCGTTATAAAGTTGTTCGCAAGCAGCAAGAGATCTGCAGATTTAGATATTAAAATTATATCTGAGACAAAATTGTATTTGACATTGCAATTGGCATTCAGTGACGAACTATGTGTTGAAAGGATAAAGTCAGTATCATAGAAAAGAAAAGGCAGAATCAAGGGGACACATTAACCAGAGGGCAGAAGATGCTTGCTATTATCCAATGTACAGAGTTGCACATCCACCTTATTGAACAAGTTGTAGAACTATTGTATGAACAGAACATGAAAGAGCAGAATAGCATTGAGTCTTGAAGAAAGAGTGAATGTTGCTGGTTGTTTGATCATGTGAAGTGACACCTAGCTGGTGTAAATACAGTTAACCATAAAGAACGACTCAAGAACTATAGTTACCCCTAACAGAACTATAGTTACTCAAGAACTATTTTTTTACACAGTGGGTGTAAAAGATAGCAGCATGCAATAAAATTCTTTCATTCTAATTAGTAAGTTGATTGCATTGACAGCTGAAAGCGAGAACAAATATACCAAATTCAGTCAACAAATATAAACCATTTAAGATAAATCCTTGACTCACATTATAGATTCCGAAGCAGTGATTATGGCGGGCTCCTTATTGTTTCACTTTGCAGCTTGCTTTCCTGACTCTGGTCAGATTAGTCCAAATGTCCTCAGGTACTCAGTTAGGTAGAGAAACTCCAAATACTATCTCCATCACAGACTATATGTCCTTATCTGTGGATTTCACTAGATTTTAATTTAATCTTCTTTTTCTTCAGTACAAGCATTTAAATGTCTTATTGGAAAAGTTGATTGCATCTATTTTTGTGATTTCAGAATTCTTTTCCTAAAGTTATTTAGAAAAAGAATAAGTACTTATATACTGGCTGTCCACCAACACATATTTACTTCACTTGAACTTGAATATTATGGGTTATTGCAGCTTATAAACTGCATTAAAGATTCTGCGGTAGAGACAAGACTTCTTCAATCTTAATGGCCTACCTGATTCTGATCTGGTGACAACTTCACTTGCACTTTTACTTATTCACTCCTGCATCCACCACAAATTTATTCCAGTCTTTTGGTTGATCATCTTTCTGAAATACCTCAAATTTATTCTACTATCTCTTGCAACTAAATCAAACAAAATTAATCAAAACCAACAAAATTCCCTTAATTATACATAACTTTCTATATTGTTCACTAGATATTTTTCAGCTGTTATGGCAAAAAGTTTATCACAATTAGTCAAGACATGAGAAGCAATCAGTTCATGAAAAAACATTGAACCAACATTTATTTTTTAATATAAAAGGCTTTCACAACTTCAAAGAGTCTCCATATGCTCAACCAGGCTTATTTCAAAAAACGTAAGGAGCATTTAAAAGAGAACATTACCTTAGTCCCTTTTGACACACTAGAATAAGGTCACTTTCTTTTGGAAACTTCTCCTCAACTTTTGATAGGAAGTCCCTGCATTGATTTTGCTAGATTAAATGTATATAATTGAAATTTAAGTAGGATAATATCACAGCAAAATGCTATTATTTAGCTAAAGAACACACCTGTCATACACCAACATAGAGCTGCCACTCCACCAACCACCTGCAGAAAAGTGTCATAAGAAAGTAATTGGTTTATTAGTTAAAGTACTCATATAATAAGCAAGTATCACTTAGATCTTAGTGGATCTAGAAATTGAATTTATGGTAAAGCTCCTTCAAATGGTGCAGGCTTCTCATGTCTATGCCACATACAACTGCTTGCAGCGTTAGTTATTACACTGGCAAAAAATTACTCTAAGCTACAATAAAAATTGCCAAGTAGGTTGGTATAATTTTGTTATGTTCGAAAAAGAAGGAAAACATTTTACGAAAATAACTAATCATGGGTGGCCACAGTTCTATTTCCTTGACGTTTAGTTTCATTGTCTCAGCATGTCTTTTTTCCATTCTAATCTAATAAATTTGTGCTGCCATAAGCCTTTCTAGGTTAAGAACTGAAGATGTGATAGTGAGAACCCAGTTGTAAAGACTAAAAGAGTTTGAAATGAATCTTAAGGTATTAGCATCAGAATTTTTCCCTCAATAGAGTGGGTCTTCCTTACACGTCAGGTTATAATAATGTGCAAAGGAAACATCTTCAAACAGAAACCAAACGTGGGTGATCATATTTCTAACTTCCATAGTTAGCATATTGTTCTTCCATTCTAATCTCAGAATATTGTGCTGTCATACACTTTTCCGTTACGAAATAAAGATAGAATAATGATAATTTTACCCATGAAGAGTTCAAAGGATAAAAACTTAAAACGACTAGATGAAAGAGAAAAATCTTAAGGTAATGACTTTTTCCTTCAAAAGATAAGTTCATCCCAGATGTCATATAATATTGACCAGTCGAGCTCCAATATTTAGGTTTCCTTTCTAAAGCATTGCCATCATGGAAAGTTCCTCATATAGTTTTCTGGTGTAGTAATAATGAGTCATATTATGACCACAACTACCAAGCTTTTTCTCCTTAATACTTCAGGAAGCAAATCTAAATATATCAAATTAAGTTTCTGCTTCATGGCATCTGATTGGAGTGTTAAGATTAAACATGCTAAAATGTACTCAGAATACAGAAAAACGAAATGGTTCTTAAGTAGTACTCCACTGTTCACAAGAAAGCAGGACTGCAAAAAGTTAAAAAAAGATCCTGCATCTTTCATGAAGAGAAACGCATAATTTCATGTATCATACAAAACTAAGCAACTAAATGATAAAAACTAGAGCTTATAACTCATTACCCATGACAAAATTTGTGATTTTTTTGGAAAGAGTTCCAATGTCACCCGTATTTTCTACATCGAATATTGGTATCCAAGTGGAACCTCTAACCCATGCCTGCATATACAACATTGGAGGAATATTATCTGGATGAAAATAGCCAATATGGGGTAAAGGAAGATAGCAATGGGCTCTCAACCAATTCAGCAACACGCATACCTTCTCATGCTCGGTTGATGGACGAACATCAAGTAGGGTTTTATTGGAAAGCTGAATCGCATAACCAGCTTCTCTAGGAGTAAGAACCTTAACCTTCTGTTCCCTGATCTTCAAAACACAGGACGGGACATCTATAAGCATGTAACTTAATATTTCATACTACTGCTGAATTTAGTTTCCATGTAACCATAGAAGAAAAAAAGTATTAAGTCAATTAGCCCAAAGGTTTTCTTTTTCAATAAAATTCATCCACATATGTGCTTCCTGTGCATGTGTCGACTTAAAAATTGTAACCTAGAAATGCTATCCTCCAAACGCATACCCAAATCATAACATACGGCATCTATATCAGTAAATAAATGATTTTGTTGTTCAACCCCTAAAAGTGAAACTAAAGAATACCAGAGTTTCCCATCTCCTCCGAGCCGCGGCCATCTCCTTGGCCTGCCTCATCTCCTCCTCTTCTCCACCAACAGTCGCATCCATCCTAACACTGCCGCTCAATCTCTGTCCCAGGAAGAGGGAAATTAACACCAGAAGAAAAATGCCTACCGGCCGGAATCAGTCAAGAAACAACTTTGAAACGGGATGGATAGCCTCCTCCACCGGCAGGAAAGAGCGGCTCTGCGACCGGCAGCATTCGAACTCTTCTCCTGAAGCCGGCGGCTTGGTGTCGCCGAGGACTTCCACATGTGGTGAGCGTGGTGGTGAAATTGCGACCAAGAGCTTCCATCTTCGACGAGAGTCACCGGCAGCCGAAGCAGTGCAAACCCACTGATGGATAACACGACGCTTTATCTTCTAAGAAGAAGGAAAGGATAGAAACATGCTAATAGAGCATGGCTGTTGAACCGATCGTGACAGGCAGCCATGTTATGACTGCCGGCATACTTTTAATTCAGTCCTTCGAATTTAAATTATAGTCATAATGTTGTAAATTGCCAGAGAAATTATGATTTTGGTCAAATTTTAGAGTGACAAATAGTTTTTGCATATACATCCACAGACCGGAATTATTTGTGCAAAGATCCTAAAAAAGTATTCTTGGACAAAACCTATTCAATTACAGATACTAATTTATATATTCCTGGAGATATCATAGTGGTTAAGATGTCATTGGAGACACGTCTTAACCAATCAGAACTCGAGATGTTATTGACGCAGTCAAAAAGTGAGATTATGATCTTAACAGCACTACTACATCTATAGGAGTGATTTTTACATTATTATTATTATTATATAAATAATAAGTATGAAGATAAAATTTAATTTCAAGATTAAAACCTCCAGTGGGTGAGTCTCGAACCTTTTAAACCTTGGCTGATAAATCTAATATATTACCATCCAATCAATATCTTGGGTGTAGAGTATTTAGGCAGGGATCAAGGCGAATTCTAATTCCACGCTTACGATCGAGGCGAATAAACTTGTAACAACTGATCTTTATATCAATAAATGATTTATTTTTTCTATGATATTGGACTGCATAGATCGATACAGCACCCGATATAACAGTGCCGGTATCAGGCAAATGTTCAAAAACCTTGGTACCAATTAAAAAAAGAATATAAATAATTTATCTAATACAACTTATGTAACATTATTATACATGTCTGTTGAGATATCAAATGGTTAGTGGATTGTGGCGCCCGTTGATGGGTCTCGTATTTGAATCCATGCGATAGGCGCCATTTAATGTAATGAATAGAAACTATTTTAGTAGAGAAAAAAACATTACTATACCAACTCTTTAGACAGCAAGGAAGAGTGGAGACGCCATCCTTCAGGTTCCTTTAGGAACACTTGATCTTCCAAGTACTGCTCCAGTCTTTTGATGATCTCATTCAACTTTCGATCCCCTCTTTCCCTGAGCGCAGGTAGAAAGCTGCGGGAAATGGCATTGAGCACCTTCTTGAACTGAGACTTGTATCTCCTGTGCAATGCAAATCCTGCCATCTGGGAGCAGCAGACAGGTGGATTTAGTAACAGCAGAAAGGATGACGAGGTAGCAGACTAGTAAAAGTGTGGACGGCTCGGGACTAACCTTCAAGAAGGCTTCCAAAGCATATGCGGTGGATCTGTTGGCAGGCAAAGCATTCAGAAACCGAGCAAGCCATGCCCATCCTTCTGCTAAACCATGAGGATTCCTGACACCTTCGATCTCTGTCTGCCAAAATAAATATCGATTCCATTCGTATTTGACAATCGGGAAATACAAATAACAACTTTTTTTTTTGTCTGTCACTATAAGAAGTTTTAAGCAAAGAAATCATATACAGCCAACTTCTTGGCCAAGATAAATCTTCGGTGTAAATGACTTGAATTTTGCTTTAGGAGACATTGAAATGTTGAATTTTGGGAACCACAAGCTTAATTTCTCACCTTTGCTTCATTAAGAGATTTCTAAATGTTCTCCAGTTTGTTACCTATATTGTTGTCCTCTCGGTGGATATGCACTTAAAAATACTTGTTTCAATATCTAACTGAGAACAGAAACTATGTGGCTACCAAAGATGATGACCAGAAAAATGTTTCTGACACAATGAGTCACAATTCTAGATGATGGTGTCCCAATGTAATTCAACTACATGTTCCGAAACATTTTTGTAACAAAATCACATATAATAACAACACCATTAGATTAAGGCAATGAATGCAAACCTGGACTATGGCAGCATAAAGTTTCATGTAAGACTGAACTCGATTCAGGTAATTCTCAGAGCTTTCAATCTTTCCATCTACTTCATGATAACCAACCATCTTCCAGTAATCCCTAGTTTGTAATGTTTGCTGGAAAATAAAAGGACATGATCATGAAATCAAATAAAAATTAACCAAGCAAGACTTGCAAATCTGCATTGGTTGTTTGCAAATGCTTCTGAAATTCACTTTACCTGTGGAGCTTCCATCACACAATCATCTACAGAGCAAAAATTTATACTTGCTACTAGATCATCTTAATTGTAACGCAAGCAGTATAAACTTCCTCGGAAAACAAAAAAGACTACAGAGAACCTGATTTTGATATTTGTTTGGAAGTACTACAAAATTTTAAATTCGTCTTATCCGATACTCAGAGTCTAAACACTTAGAAGCAAACTGATAGACTTGGTTATCATCAGGAGACACAGTTCCATATCTCAATAGTTGTAGATGTGATTACAAAACTTATTTACTATCCAATAGAATGACTAGCGAGAGTCTGCTATCAGTTAGAATTGCAAAATTCCATCGAAAGCTTTCCCATAAGGCTACCAAGTCTAATTTGTACAGTGTCAAGGAAAGTGATGTACCATCTAACCAGGAAGAAAACCAGGGAAGAACTATAGAAGAACAATCTATTGTCTAAAGAAAATTACAACAGACTTACATCTGAAGGCTGCAGATACTTTGGAACCGTATAGATGCAACTTTTATGGAACTCAGCCAGCACAAAATCCATAACAGCTGGAACCTAGGAGATCCATCAAGACAAATAGACACAACAGAAATGAAAATGAATTGCCTGTCCCACATAATAAATACTAAATAGCTTTATGTGCAAACTGATATAACTCATGGAGAAGTATAACCATAAACCAACTACCAGATTCTGTTTCCAACTTAATGAAAAGCTACCTACCTTAAGCTTTTAACAGATACAAAAAGTGGCCCACGTGGCCTCACATGCATGCAGTCATGGCTACCTGGCATAAGGCCAAGCTGGCATCAATATGCAGTTATATTGTGTATGCATACACAGTCTGATAAGCATGAAAACGAAGTTACGAGAATGGTATTTAACTTTAAATTACTGCATAGGGTCGATGATAACTTTAAATTGCTACTTAATCCTTTGCACATCCCGTATAACTTATCATTTATTAGATTCTTAAATGAGCGTAATGCCATCCCACAGACTCATAGCCAACTGTAAATTTCTTAACATTGAAACGAATGCAGATGCACCAGTAAATCAACAAACTGAAGTTCAATGACAGTTGGGAAACAAACATTTCCTTTTTCGTAAAATCCCATCAGCTTTTGTATTGTAACAATCTATAATATTGTCTAACATGGTTTCAAAAAATTATAAGAAGGTTCCTGGGTTTAAGGAACTTTAGAACATAATTTTAAAATGTCTACCAAACAATTGCAAAATTTACCTAAGACTTTCAGGTAATGTTTCTGCCAAATCATCTGGATCCGACCTAAGGATTTTCACTTGGTAGTATTTACAGAAATCTGGACACCATCTAAAGTCTTCGAGTCAATGATTTATCTAATGTCATTGAGTCAATAGTTTATCAAATGTCTTTGAGTCAATGATTTATAGCATAAAGGAAATCAAGGAAACAAAGATGAAATCTTTTAAATTCATCCTAGCTAAAACCTAAAGAGTATTGTCAAATGAGTTCCTCAAATTCCCAAGAAAAGAAAAAACTAATCTTACTGGAGATAATATAAATACATCTAGACCTTGTTTACCAAATAATAAGTACTACTACATTGATTGAATATAAAAATTTGAGCTAAAAAGTTGAACTTTTATGGTAAATGCCCTAAAACCCATCAAATGGAATATCATCGATACATGTGATGATATGGCCTTTATAGGAAGAATTAAGTAAATTATACGAAACAATTACATATCATCTACCTTTAGGCTTGCACTAAAGTTAAGGGGTGCTCACCTAGGCACCCAAGCAATTACATATCATCTACCTAAAAATCATATTTTACCTCCATTTTCAACGAGACTCCTTTACTTCTAGTAGTCACTTTTGTTTACACAATTTCCACCCAGTGAAGTTAAGAGGTGCTCACCTAGGCACCCAAGCAAGGTGAGGCGCTGCTCGAGCGCCGGATAAGTGGGCCAGGCAAATGACAACCTCCTTCTCCTCCCTGATAGCTCCCCTCCCTCTTCACCTCCCAACCAACAATAACCCGCAGCCATCCATCTGACAACAATCAGACATCCACCCCAACCAACAGCAACCCACTCCCATACCTCCTCCCACTCCTTGGTACCTTCATCCTTGCTCCCCTCCCAACTAACAGCAACCCTCTCTTTGTCCTCCTCCTTCTATGTTAATTGTTTTATTAATATAGATTTGAATAATATAATTTCATCCTTTAAATGAATATTGTGTTATTTTTTGTTTTATCATTTATATCTATTAATCATGATATATATTTTTAATCTTTAATAATATGGAGCGCTTAGCTTCGCTTGCGGAAGTACCTAGCGCCTCGAGTGTTTTGACATCTTGGCACCTTTTAACGCCACTCGCCTTTGACTACACTGTTACCACCACACTTTTGATCATACAATTTCCACCAAACACCTTTGGAAATGGATTGCAATCAAATCATGTTTTGCCTCTACTTTTAATTAATTACCTTTGCTTCCACCGGTTACTTTTGATCACACAATTTCCACCAACCACCTTTTGTCGTGCATCGCAACCAAACACTTTTAACAACCCATTACGGGGGACTTAGTGAAGGATTGACTCCTGGTTATCATTTTGGACACAGATTTCCCAATGATGAATATGAAGAATCAAGCACCGGTAGCAACTTCTGGGATAGGAGTCAGTTGAAATGAGCAATAGCTACACATATGGTGCTACACCTAATATATGCAATGCTGAACAGAAGCAGATGTCATCAGTGATTTAAAAAGCGCTAGGCGCCAAGGTCCAAAAACGCCCGAGGCGCTAAGCGCTCGCCCGAGCGAAACGAGACGCTAAAATGTAAAAATATATAATATAATTAATAAATATAATTATTTAAAATTTTAAATAAAATATGTTATTAAATTAAGAAAATCTAAGATACAAAATTAATAGTATTAAGAAACCTAGCAATAATTT